GCAAATTGCTAACAGACCACCATGCGCCTACCCCATCAAAGTTTCTATGTCGAGCTAGATTTGACAGTAGGACTCGTCAACCAAACGAGTCAATATCAGAATATGTTGCTGCTTTACGTCATTTAAGTGAATTTTGTGAATTCGGCGAAACGCTGTCTGACAGACTATGTGAAAAGTTTGTGACAGGTGTAAACAGCCCTAATGTTCAAAGAAAGTTGCTGCTCGAGACAGATCTAACATTAGAAAAAGCAATACGACTTGCAACTTCATTCCAGCAGTCATCAGATGCGGCGAGATCTTTAGCACCTTCAGAGATCCATGCAGTAAACAGCAGGTTAGTCAATAAACATCAACCCCATCAGAGCATTCCAACGTATGCTAAACAGCCTGCTTGTTCAAAGCCTAGATCTAAATCTAGTAATAATTACCAAAAATGTCATCGATGCAAAGGTCCCCATGCATCTCATCGGTGCAAGTTCAAGTCTGCAACTTGTTATAAGTGCGGTAAGCAAGGTCACATTGCCAAGGCCTGCTTTGCAAAGTCTTCGTCTGTTGCTAAATCTAGCCAGTCAAGACAGTACCGCAACCAAAAGCAGCACTATGTTAACTCTCACCAAGACTACCTAACCCAACCAATGAACCACTCTACCAGTGAAAATGCTCAAACTGATTCGCAGCCGGATTTCAACCTGTTCTCTGTGAAATCAATAAGTCATGCTCCCATCAATGTACTAGTTAATATCAACGGTAAGAGCATCAGCTTCCAACTTGACACTGGAGCATCTCTAACAGTCATAACAAAGAAAGACTTTGACGCTGTCACAGGAGGATCAGTGCCTCTACAACCATGTCACAAGTGTCTAACAACATACACTGGTGACAATGTTCCGGTAATAGGAGAGTGTATGGTTCATGTAAGTTATAATGGTCAAAGTGTTAAACTTCCTCTTCTTGTGGTTGAAGGAAATGGACCACCATTACTAGGTAGGAACTGGTTAGTTGATCTTAAGTTAGATTGGAAGAGTATATGTTCATTGAACAATGCAAAAGAATCTAGTCTTACTTCACTAGATAAAGTTATATCTGAAAATGAAAGTGTTTTTGGTAATCCAGGATTACTAAATGATAGAACAGTGAAGATAAGCATTAAAGACACAAATCCAAGATACTGCAAAGCTAGAGTTCCACCTTATGCAATGTTGAATAAAATTGAAAATGAGCTAAGTAGATTGGAATCTAATGGCATCATAAAGAAAGTAGACTATTCCGATTGGGCAACGCCCATTGTGCCAGTGTTAAAGAAGGATGGTTCTATAAGAATTTGTGGAGACTATAAAACTACACTGAATAAGCAAATAGAGCTAAATAGGTACCCTATACCTAACATTGAGGAAATTTCTTTGAATTTGGCAGGAGGAGACAAATTCACTGAATTAGACTTTAGTCATGCTTACACTCAACTAGAACTGCATCCAGATTCAAAAGTCTATACGACAATAAACACACATAAAGGACTCTACCAATATGAAAGACTATGTTTTGGCATATCATCTAGCCCTGGAATTTTCCAAGCTGTCATGGACAGTATTTTTAAGGATATTCCAAATGTTTGTGTTTACTTTGACAATGTGAACATAACTGGTAAGAATGACACTGAACATCTTAAAACACTTGATAAAGTATTGAAAATAGTTGGTGAAAAAGGTTTAAAGATAAACAAAGATAAATGTCAATTCATGTTGACAGAAATTAGTTTTCTTGGTTATATATTGAGCAAACAAGGCATCAGACCTCAACCTGAGAAAACAAAAGCCATTAAAGAAGCACCCAAACCTGAAAATACCCAACAACTAAGAGCTTTTTTGGGCTTGATAAATTACTATGCAAAGTTCATAGGGAATCTGTCTGGTAAACTATCACCACTGTACAAGCTGCTACAGAAAAATGCAACTTGGCACTGGGGTAAACAACAAGATACTGCTTTTAATACAGCAAAAGAAGCTTTGTCTTCTGACACCTTACTAACTCACTATGACCCAGGGAAAAGACTTATATTAACATGTGATGCTTCACCAGATGGTGTAGGAGCAGTCTTGTCCCACATGGATGAGAAGGGTGACAGACCCATTGCTTTTGCCAGTAGATCTTTGAACCAGGCTGAGAAAAATTATTCTCAGTTAGATAGGGAAGGCTTAGGCATCATTTTTGGTGTCAAGAAATTTCATAAGTTTCTGTTTGGTAGGAAGTTCACCATCTTTACAGATCATAAACCATTGCTAGGTTTATTTGGAGAAAACAAAACCCTACCTGAGCATGCCTCACCAAGAATTCAAAGATGGGCTATCACACTAACTGCATACAATTATGAATTGAAATACAAACCTGGATCTGAGAATAGTGCAGATAGTCTTAGTAGATTACCTTTAAAAAACCAAAGCCTGAGCTATGTACCAGAAGATGTATTTGTTCTCTTCACTATCACGGATAACTCCAATATAAATGTGAATGATATTAAGAGAGAAACACAAAAAGATGAGTGCTTAATAAAAGTATATGAGTACTGTAAGAATGGTTGGCCTGAAGAGTCTGTGAATGATGACTTAAGGCCATATTAAATAAGAAATAAAAACCTTTGGAAGATAATATAAAAGATGGAGAAGATACAGTCCATTATCAGTCAGAGTTGCCTAAACAAAGTATTTGTAACTTAATAAATGATTATGGTGATATGGCAATTTCAAATGCTTTAAGTAAGAAGGAATGTGATCATCAAACAACTTTGCTAACATCATTAGCACTTAAAGAAACTAAAAGGGTAACATCAAAAGTAAATACCAAACAGAAGAAGCTAAAGGTGACAATGAAAGAGTAAACAGGTTATTAGCCAAATACCGCACAACTTCTCATATAACAACAGGTGGCACCATGTGAATTGTTATGTGGTAGGAAAATTAAAACTCATCTTGACCTACTACATCCAACTGTTCAAAGGTCTGTTTCCCAACATCAACATACACAAAAAGTAAATCATGACAAAACATCCATTGAAGAGATTTGGATTTAATGAGAATGTGTATCTAAGAAATTATGGGAGAAAGGAAAAATGGATACCAGGTCAAATTGTTCAATGTACAGGACCTGTGTCTTATAAAGTAAAAACAAATGATAGACTTATTGTCCGTAGACATGCAGACCAGTTAAAAATAACTTGTGCAGATAATAAGTGTGAATCTGCCAATCCCACCAAATCTGAACAGTTCACACCAACTCAGTTTGTTCCACAACCAAGTTCTGTTGATATGAGTGAACCAAGTTGTCTGGAGTCAGAAAATGTAAATTCTGGAGTTAATGATTTAAATCCTAGACCTCCTGAGATAGAGAATCCAAATGGTCAGAATATTGAGTCACCAAATCAAAGGCCACTGAGAAGGTCAAACAGGACAATCAAAGTCCCAAATAAGTTAGACCTATGATTTTAAAGGTCAAAAGGACTTTGACATCATTGTTTGTATTTTAATTGTGTTGTAACATATTGTGCATTGTTTGTAAGGATGTAATCTACCATAATGTTCATGTTACAATATATTTGGTGATTTTAGGATACTATCAATTGTTCTATTGAGAGATGTGTTATTGTGTTCTAAGGGTAAAGGGATGTAATAGATTGAGATAATTGTGAGGTCAAGGGAACTCACTCTTCTGTATTAGTATTATATTTATATTGTTATCTTGAGTGATGTCCCTTACATATATATAAATAGTTGTCTCTCGCCACTTCCTTCCTCTCTCACTGGTACCATCATGTAGTTAGACCCAATAAACGTTTTATATACAACCACATGCTTCTATCGTCAATCTATTATATATAGGCTCAAATGTAACGATGCCTATAGTGTTATTAATACCGATGGGCCTTGTATAATCCCCCCCCCCCCCCTTCCTCCCAAGCAAGATTAAAGGCTTGGGGGCCTTTTTTGGAAAAGAAATTGGATTTCCGTTTTCTTTTTAAATTTATTTTTATAATACAATTATTAAAATTCCAATGTACAAGTTTTAAAAAATTTAAAGAGGGAAAAGGGCCCCTATTTTCCTTGGGCCCCTATGCTTTGCTTACGCTAGCTTTACGGTAGTTATGCCACTGTCCTAGGGGCGCCAAAATAAGCTCATTTTAAATAAAAAAAATATATGGGGGGGGGGGGGGCAAATAGGGCTGGCAAGTAGGTCACCAACCAGTTCTATGGCTCATGCAGGTTTTATTGAGCCGTAGAACTAGTTTGTGAACTACTTAGGGGTCGTCCATAAATGACGTCACACTCGTATGGGGGAAGGGGGTCCGTAATTTTGTGACGGTGTGTGATGAGGGGGAGGGGGCGGGGGGGGGGGGGGGGGGGGGGGCTCAGATTGTGCGACGTCACACTTTTGCATTATAAAAAAGCAATGTTAGAAAACGAAGTTTAGTCGTTATTTTGCGTTTTAGAAAACTGTTTTAATAAATTGTAATAGGAATTGATTAAAATACTCTATTTTGACAGAGTTCATACAAGATTTTGGAAAAATATCGATGTTTAAAAATAAATTCTGCTGCAAAACTGAGGGGGGGGGGTGTTGTAGGCCGAGGTGTGACGTCATTTTAGGGGGTGTGTCTGGCTTTTTGTGACGATGTGTGACGGAGGGGAGGGGGGGGGGGGGTAAAAATCGTCCAAAAAAGCATAACGTCATTTATAGATGACCCCCCTTACCAGCCCTATTGAAAGTTTGTCCCCGGGCGCCAGGAGGGGTCGCTCTGTATAATTATGTTAATTCTAATGTCTAATTTTTAAAATTTCATATGAACTAAATTAATTTTAAAGCATTTCAAATTTGTTAAGTTCAGAAAATGAACTTTCTACAATTAACAGAGATAGATCCACGACTAAGGTCTATAATCTATAAAATTGTTTTGTTACATTTTTAAAAAGCGATGAGTTTTTTACTTGTAAAGTAAAATGAACTATGGGATAGAGAACTAGTCTAAATGGTGCTTGCTTGCTTTTGAGTTTAACAAATGGAATAGTACAGTCTGAATAGCGAATTTAGATTCTAGATCTTGCTTTTGTTATAGAGACGTAAGAGCATACTTTAAATGTTGATTTCCATGCATGCATTTTAGATCTAGATATATCTAGTCTATATAATCTAAATAAATAATAGATAAATCTAAGATCTAGAAATCTAGATCTCTGACTTAGTCTTAGCTTAGTCTTAGTCTTAGTGAGGTCTTTCAGTCTTTCAGTCAGTCCTCTCACTCTTCTAACTTCTTAGATCTCGATCTCCTAGTCAGCGAGCAAAGCTGCAATAGGCTGGTAAAATTAAACTTTAGTAGATCTAGATCTAGATTCTAGGCCTAAACTAAGTAAACTTAGTTTTAGTACTTAGCCAGCTAAACTCTAAAGAAAGATCCTAGAATCTAGATCTAAAAAAAACAGATCTAGGCTCTGCCGCTCTAGACTTGGCTTGGAGTTGGAGTATGTTTAAAGTTTAAGTAAAGTAGGCCCTAATATTTACTAATAATGTTTATTATAATTATTTGTTTAGGAATCTCTCTTTACATTGCTTTATACTTTATACTTTATACTCACATATAGTTTATTGTCTGTCTTTAAGTTTCTTTTTAATTATAGCCTCCAGTTTAGTGTTACTTAAAGAAAATTATTAAATTAATGTTGAACAGTTTTTTCCTACTAATATTACATTGCTTCATAGATCTAGTTGTCATAAAAAGATAAAAAATAAAGGCCGATTCTAGCAGGAAAAAGATACGCATCTCAATAGACAACTTTCCATCGCGGCACTGTTTTAGACGGCACTGCGCATGCGTGTGTTACAAACAAACCGCAGAACCCTATCCCTAACCCTAACCCAAGCCCTAAACCTAGCTCAGCTATTAAGGTTACTGCGCATGCGCAGAACTATCTTTTGTCGACCAGGTGGAGACGCTGGGGCAAAAATTCTTTTTTCAGAGTGGTCACTTCGTAAAATAAAAGAAACTGAAAGCGGGGGGAAAAAAAGAAATTTAACAGAAAAAAATCTGAAATGTTAAGCTACATTTTATTTTAAATTTTAAGAATCAATATTTTAAATGTTGCAAAATATAGACAACTTGTAATTAGGCCTATATAAAGTGTTTAGGCCTATAGCCACATTTCTATTTATTTATATTAACCTAAAAATGTAAGCGGTAGTTTCCGACTTTAGACAAATTTTGGTTGGCAATTGAGAAACTTTTGAATTAAAAAAAAACCTACTTTTGTTTAGTTACTGAAAATACTAAAAACTAATTAGATTAATGTCCAATCTTTATTTAAAAACACACAGGCTTAACACATTTATTTTAATGACCCCGCTCACAATTTAAAAAATATTTAGCCTAAAAGTAAAAGACCCTTTGAGACAATTCACAGTAGAGGCCATTGTAATTCTATCAAGTTTTAAGTATTTGCTTAAGTCTAGTTTTGGTAAGACCATTATTAGCATATAATTTTAAGTTGACTGCACTTGCATGATTTGTCTAAACTTAGTTAATTGGTGGTATTTATTCGTTACGAAATAGTAATAATCAGTGCTTTTTTTGTAAAAAAATAGGTGCCGGTACTCAGTGATAGATTGCCTAACTTTTAACTACCAGTTCGCACCATGATGCAATTTAAATCACTACTGCAAAGATGCTAAATTAACAAATTAAAAACATAATAAATTAATAATAAACGTTAAAGTACAAGAAAAGTAATAATATTTTCCCTACATCGAAAAAGCTGCTGGTACGCCATACCGGTGCATACCATCACAAAAAAAGCACTGGTAATAATAAAAGACAACACCTTTGATTTTTTGGTAAAGTCAATTATAAGATAGTAGTTGAAATAATTCCTCCTCAGACAGTGTACATCTGTATTAAAATAAGTGCTGATAAAGTTAATCCAATAGCTGTGATGTAGGCTCTAACTTATACAGCTTTAGTTCACAACTTTTCCCCCTTTTTATGTTTTTTGAGTTCTTACCTATTTATTAAGCTTTAAGTTTATTTATGTATGTGTAGGCCTATATTTACATTTATAGTATTGGATAAAAGGCAAAGTTCTAAAAACAGTCAGAGGTAATGAAATAAGAATTATATAATTGTCAAATAAATTTAAAAACATTATTTAATTTTTTTTCAGATGTAGATTATTGAATGAAATAAAACTGGAAGGTACTTACAGATTACCATTTCTTGGATGTGATATATACAAGTTCAACACCCTCAACATCCTCTGTCGCTATGAGCAAAGGAGAAGCAAAGAAAGATAAGCTGAACCATACATCTAGAAGAAGGCAAATCTTTGACTCTGCTGAGGACTCTCGAACTAACTCCTCCTATACATCATCCCAGTCTCACTGCTACCCTCATCATGTGACTGGACCACACCCCCCACTTAACTACAATCCCTGGTACAGATCCAACTACCACCATCCTCCACCAAATGGCCACCATATTGGGGCAGTGCATATCTTCCCTGCTCATCAGATATTTATGCAGCACGGGCCCTTTGGCAATGAAACCAATCACTACAGACCAGCTGGTTATGCTCATCAGTTTGCCTTACAATTTCCCCACCATTTAGATCAGCACCACCCAACATTTCTCAATGAGCAGAGACGGCAGAGCTTTCAACATCAGTGTGACAACGGGCAACTTGAAGAAATGTTGAAGAACTCTTATGAATATAACGGCCCAAATAACAATAGAGAAAGGGTCTTTAAAACCGAACAAAGCCAAGGAGCCAGGCCTAAGTTGGGCCTTTTTCAGAATGGTAAAAAAAAATGCTTCAAAAAGAAAAGGAACCAAAACAATTCTTCTAATTTAAACTCACAACCTGAGGGTGAGTTGGAAAGGGAGCATGTGAGCGCTGATGAAAATAAACTAGCTGGTAGTGATCATTTAGATCCATTAATAAAAGAAGGGCACAGCATAGGTGCTGCCTGTGGTAAGAAAACACGAACTTGTGATTCTTTTCAAACCGTTGGGGCAGTTTTACCCTGCACAACTGGAAACTGCAGAAATCCTACAGAATTGGTCAGATGTGATCAGTTAGAAATGGATGGATTAGAAGGAGCTGTTGGTGGGCAAGTGATGAACAGTTCCCATACCACTGAACAGTTATCTTCCAGAAGCACGTCCCTTGATAAAAATTTAATTGACGAAGGAGCTTTTTGTGATTTAGATAGAATGTTCCAGCACCAGGAGTTCTCACGATACAATGGGGACCACGCAGATGTGTACCCCTCAGATGACGAGGGTGTCATGCCTGGGAAGTTCTCTCACAGAAGCTTGGGGCAGTCCTCGTGTCAAGACAGTGAGCTATACCACAATGGATCAGATGATGATTCAGAGCTTGAAAACTGCTCATACGTCTATGACCCTAAACAATCCCATACATTGGGTTTGAACTCTACTAGTCCTCAACAAACTAGTCTTAAGAAGTCTTTGTTTCACAAAAGTGATAAGTTTGATAATATGAATGGAAAAAGTTGTAGCATTAATACAGATGATATTGAAGACACAGGAGATTTTATTGACACTGACCTCCCCTCACAAAAACATTTGCTATCCAGTTCAGATGAAATGGACAATAGCTCTTCAATCAGTAGTAGTGATCATGAAGATGATGATAGGAAACCATCAAGAAAAAATCATGATTATAACTCTAATGATCTGTCAGCTTTTGAATGTGAAGTACAAGTGCACACACTATGTATCCATGAAGATGCCAATGATATTAAAGACCCCTTATCTAGTCAATTAAATGCAAGAAGAATAGAAACTGAAAACCAGACATCAGGTCTGCTTAGTGTGCCTCAAAGAACTGCAGATGCATGCAACAGTAGCAGTGAGAGTGAGAATGGGGAGAACTTACCACACAGTAAGCCATCACAGTTTTGTGCACTCAACAACAACATACCTCAAGGCTGTTACAGCCCCACAGGATCATGTCTGGAAGGAGCTGCAGCCTCCCAGCTCCCAGCTGAAGCCAGTGAAAAACATTTGGCTGACTCGTACAACTCCTGTCCCCCAGGAGCTGAGTGTGAGCTGCCACCTGTCTCCCCACCCCAATGCTTCCATTCCAATTTGTTCTGTCCTGGAGTCCGGGTGAGTCCATGTGGGCAGAACAAACCTAGTCAGAGCCCAGCCCGTGAGCATGTTGCTTTCACAGCCAGCAGTGAGATGGACCACAGTGGAGACTTCCATCACCAGCCCCTGGAGTCTGCCAGCTGCTCTGTCACAGCTGACGGAGGTGCGTGCTGCCCCCCAGGTTTCCAGGGCTCAGGTGTGAATGACTTGAATGTGTGCTGTCATCATAGCCACAGCCATGTGGCCAATGGATTTACTGTGGGCAGTCCTGGGGCCAACTTCAGTAATGATGAGAGCAACCGTCTCCAGAAGGTCTTTGTCAAGTTCTCCAGTGAGGATAAATTAGATGAGGGGGAGTCTCATTCAGCTTCCTCTTGTGACCTGGAAGATGTAAGTTGTTGTTTGGATTATGTTAATCAATATTTTTATTTTAAACTTTCTTAGTTTCATTAAAAAAAATTTGACTGTTCAGCTCAGAAGTTTAATAAATTGAATTGAACATAGGAATTGAACCATAGTTAGTAATCATTTGCTTGAACACCCCACTTTCCCCCCTATACTTGTATTAATACTTTTCCACTAACAAAGTTTTTGGTTTTAGTTTAGTCTGTTTCACACTTTTGAAAGTTTTTCTTTAAATTCTGTAGGTAGAAGAATGTTGATGTTTATTGCTCATTTATTTACTAACTAGACTTACATAATGTATACAACTTGATTTGCCATGTATAAACCCAATCTTAAGAGGCAAAACACATTAGTAATTTGCTAATTTATGATTGATCATTTCTGATGATCTCTAGGTGGATGGATTTGGCATGTTAACCAGGAAACAAGATAAAAGTAATGACAGTGGAGGATCAGAAGACCCTTTAAGGTATTTTATACATCTTAGCTGCAGCTGCACATTTTGATTTTATAAGATGGTTCAAATAAATTGTTGATATTTGGATTTTTATAAAATGCCTGTAGGACCAGATAATTGTGTCATTTTTTCCTGTTTTTTAGGCTAGTGTCACTAGTGTCAGGCATAGGTATAGGTAGCCACACTAGCAAAAATTTAATGCCACGCAACCAGTCCTCATTTTTACTGGCTTATCTAGGCTCCCAGTCATTATTAATTAATTATATTTTTACTTAGTTTCTGGCTTTTTTAACTTCATTTTTAAATTCATTTGATCTAAAACTAAAATGTTAGCTGTATTACAGAATCACATGACACCATTTTATTGAGCATGTTTTGACTTTGTAGCCATGACAATGGAGACAATGTTGACATGGTACTGTTACCAATGGAGGAGGAGATAGAACCAGTCCATCACATGACGTCAGGCCTGTGTGCGGGTGGTGTGGATGAGGATGATGACTTGTTTGAGAGCAGCAGCCAGCTGGCCCTGTCTAGTAAACATGGAGGCAATAATTTGGGCTATCTGTAAGTTTATGTTTTTAGAGTTTCTTTTCTAAACTCAATAATTAACATAAATGATTTGTCAGAAATAAATGTTTATAGTAAACTGTGCCAAAGATAAAGTAATAGAATAAAGAATGCATTTAATTTATAACTTGAAGTTTTGCATGTTGTACTTAGGTATGATGAACATCTGTGTGCACATGATCAAAATCCTCTAGGAAATGGAATGGTAAATATTTTTTTGTGTTATTAAAAAAACTTGTGTAGTTTATTATTTAGAAAACAAATGCTATGGTATAAATTATTGACTCTGCCATGTACAGATTGTAACTCGTTACAATCCCATAATTTTATTGTTGTAGCCAAGTAAAGAGTTCTATGAGTTGATAAAGACAGTGAGTACAACAGACAGCTACATGAGATTCTTTGATAAAGATGGTCTGGATGTGCAGAGACAGGTAACATTTATTCAGTAGTCATTTGACTCTCAATATTGTATTTTAAAAATAGATACTTGAATTAAAAGATATATATATAATAATAGGATGCTTAGTATTGTTTTGTTATGCTTTACTTTGTGCTGGTTATCTAGTTTTTATGCTGTCCATTTTGCCAGCCATATGTCCCTTGTGATGATGACTCTAAACAGAATTCAGCCACTGGTGGACAGAATTCTAAAGCTGAACGTCTTAAAGTTGACCGTGTGATGATCTGGAATGAATATGAAGCTTATGTCATGCAGTTTAAGCAGATAGCTGTCTCAGCCTGTGGACAGACAGCAGTGTTGAATGTTTTAGTGAGTTGGTAGCTGATTGTTAATCAACAGCTTATCTGTGTATTTAAATTTGAATTACTATTAGTTTATGTTTAGAACCATTGATTAGGATGCTTGTAACACTTTCAGAAAGCCCTCAAGTTTAACTGTGAGAAGTCAGCCGTGTGTAAAGTAATACAGACCAGCCTAAGGAAAGAAGATGCTTGTATCCCTGAATATCTTTTCTCCAGAGCTAAAGCTGGTAAGGCTTTTGGTGCCCAGCTTTTAAGATTGCTTTCATTTGATGTTTTGTTGAGCTTGTATTCCCCGGTGTGTTTGTTATGTTTTCTATATTTATGGTAGTTGGTAATATCTGTCATTGGAAACTGACATACTGTTTTTATTGACAGGTACCACTGCAGGTGAGTTGATGTCAGGTGTTGAGAAGCTGAGTGGGGGAGCAGTGGGTGGAAGGTTCTTCCACTTTTGGCCCCCACGTAAAGTCAAACTTCTACAGTGGCTTGCCTACTGGATGAAGAGAGGTAATTTTCTTACTGTCCCTTTAATTGTCATGGTTATGGTTTTCAGTGTAAAAGTTTAAATGTAAAGTTAAATGCCACACCTGGATGTAGCTGATTTATTATGGTATCTGTTATGTTTCCAGGTGCCATACCTATGGCCACCCTCAACTTACAGCAGGGACCCCATTCTTTATGGCAAGTTCCAGACTCATGGCACCACCAGATGGTGTATGGTGTCAGTCATCAAGGTAGGTCATCTAGCTTTGGTGTATGGTGTCAGTCATCAAGGTAGGTCATCTAGCTTTACAACAGAGGTTGACCAGGATCTGGTTCATCTAGCAATTTGGGTGGGGGACGGGGATAGTGGGGGGGGGGGGGGGGGGTTAACTAGAATATAGCATGGGCCTCTGAATTACAGAGACCCCAAAATATTTCTAAAATCTAAATTCCATGAAGTAAAATACACAAATGAGCCTCATAATTTTTATCCTACTAACTTAACCCTTCCCAACTTAGGTATAGTGGCATAAATATTTTATGCTTTTTTTTTCTTTATGGCTTATTTCAGAGTTTTTTGCTATCAACAGAAGTATCACTTATTTTAATGAACAATTCAATAGGCCTATTGATTTGAGGTTGATTTAATTTCTGTCTTGCCTAGAGATATAAAGAGGTAATTAAAATGTTGTATTTAGGTCTCTACTTGACCAACCCATTGGAGATAGTGTCAGAACGGTCAGCCATGAAACAGCTCTGCAGTGACTCTGTGCTGATGGTCAGGAGACAGGACATCATTTCTAGATTCAGGGAGATAACTGACCTGGGTCAGCTGCTGAACCACCCTGACCCTCGCTGGAGGACAATGAATGTTTTAGGTAAAGATTTACTCTGACCTGTTGCTTAGCAATTTTAAACTGTTGCTGTATATAGTTACAAGTTGACCATAAACAAGACATAAGGTTTCTTGATTTTAGTTGTGGTTGGAGAATATGACTTACAGGTTTTCTTACCAAAGGTTTTGATATATGAAGTTAAAGTTGTCAGCATTTACAGGGTAATGGGGTCAATGAATATATCTATAAACTGCACTGGACTAAAGTGAAGATGATGGTATTGTAATTATTTCTGTGCATACTATAGACACATTTTAGATGAATAATTCTACACATTACTTTCATCTGTTATACAGATATAATTAGTCTAACAGCAAATTACTTAACAGTCAATACAAAGTCCAGCTATTAGTACTATTAGTCCAGCCACATAAATCTACACTATGACATTTAGTATGATTTGTTTCAGGACAAGTTGTGAATGTGCTGAGAGAGTCCAACATGCCCAGTGTGCCAGGCTACAGGCTGCAGGTGACCTCTCATGTCAGCATACCTGCCTCGTACAAGGCTGGAATTACCCTGTTCATGCGCAAGGACAAATCAGCATGGAAAACTTTGCTCAGTGCTCCAGAGATTCCCTTGGAGCCCTGATAGTGTGGCAGTGTTGTGTTGTTTTTGTGGTGTAGGTCAGTCCAGGATTGGTTCTTTGAGGATTACACAGATGCAGCATTATGAAACTGCTTTGAGGAATGACTGCTAGAGGATTGTGTCAGGATGGTTTCTTACGGATTTTCTGCTTGGATTATTTCTTACGGACCCAGATTTTTTTCTTTTGGATTATATGCTCAGGATTTTTCCTTACTGGAGTATGAGCTACAGAATTATTGAAAATCTTTAAATAGTATGAAGATTAATTTTTGAATGATAATGACCAACATGATTCTTTCTTATCAGTCACCTATTGCAAGAATTGGTAAAGCTGCAGTTTTTTTGTTGTTTTCTTTGATCTTTAATGCAACTAGAATATAATTTTAGAAATAATTAATTATATTCTTCAAGACTTTAGAAATGGAAAATGAACTTAGTGAATTAGAATCACACAGGATTACCACAGGGGTAGTAGTATTTGTGCTTAGGGATTGGCAGATAACATGTGTATGTAAGATGTCAGTAAGCACATTCTTAACTTGTGAGTTTTGGATGTGTGGTAGTTCAGTAGGGAAATGATATATGGATAATTTTATGTTTTACAGTACAGTGCAATAAACCATAAGACCAAATAAGCTTCTCTTTTCAAGTCTTTTTTTGTGTGTACAAATAGAAAAGTTATTTTTAATTTAAAAAACACAGTGCCATATTTATCTGTTGTTTTGTCTCAGTGAATTGTTAAAAGAATTGAGAGAAGCAGAAAGTGTATACACATTTTGCATGAGTAATATAGGAGTAATTTAAACAAATTAGCAAAATACTGATATTAAGATATTTAATTATACTTACATTGTTTTATTTTTCAAGAATAAATTAATTTCCTCTATATGATCATTCTCAGTGTGCGTTGTGATTAAATAACTTATAACCTAACATATGGAAAATTCCAGCACAAGATAAGAACTAATATAAAAATTGTGTTAGATAAAATTAAAAATTGGGGTTTATTAAAAAAAAAGTAGTACAACAAGGTATAAATATGTACACTATAACTTAGTTTTATGATAAATTTATGGTAGTATGTTTTTTCCTTGTTTGTTAGTTACAAACAAAGTTTGCTGAATAAAATAAACTGTTTCCCATAGTTGTCTGGCCAACACAAGTTGAAACAGTTTTGTTTACTTCTGGTTGTGAAGTTGCCTTTGGTGCACTTGTTAGTATACATCTATTAAAGACTGAACACAGGCATAAGATGCTGAGACTGCACTGATTTTTAGTCCATGTACAAATTAGCTTTGTATTGCTACTGTATGCATCTCACTCTGTGCTTAAGTTCAGTGATGGTAATAAGTTGGGCATGAAATTAGTGAAGCTAATATATGTGTTCATTTCAGTAAATGTCATTAAACTACCTTCTTAGTGTTTGATAGTAAGTTTTTTTTTAACTTTCGTACAGTGAATAGTAAATTAAGCAGTTGAGAATGAATCTAATTCAGTTGAAAAATAAATTATTCAGATAAACTAATTTCTCTGTAGACCATTTTTATTTACAAATCTCCTTTAAAACTGGCCTTCAAACATTTTTTAAAAATGTACATTTCTTGATTTGATTTTAATAAATAACCAGCATCATGGTTATCCGTGACCTGTTGTGTAACCCTAATTATTATTTTTGATATTACTGGTTCAGATGTATATAAATATTGATCAAATGCTCAACTTTGTTTTGACATTGATTTGCTGCTTATTGCATTCCCTATTGCTATGGAGCATAAACCAGCTCATCACTTTTTGGAAAATTACAGATTCGCTTGTACAGAGCTGACATGTTTTTCACAGAATAGCTTCATTGTTTTTCTTCACATTGTAACACTATTTGTGTATAACATTGGCTTGTTTATTACTTTAATTCTTCTGTTGACAAATAAAATTTAAGATATTTGAAATTGGGGATTGAAAAAGATGTAATTGAATTTGTTAGCAGTTCTCTCAAGTCTAAAGCTGCAAAGGCTTAACACAATGCATCAAGGGAGTCAAATGGTCTGCTTTTAGATTAGATTTTCTTGCAGTGTTTCATTATTATGTTTTAAAATTTACTGATCATAGTTTCAGTATATGCTAAGTCTTTTGAATGGAAAGAAATAATTTTTTATCAAGTATATTGTATTTAGCTGTATGAAAGCTAACGACTCCAATTTTATCATTCTTTAAACTTCGTTTTAATTTTGATATGAATTAGTTGGTTTTTTTTTAAAATTTAGAGTATTAGCATAATCAACACGGCTGTAATAATTGTATAGAATTAAAATTGTACCTACAAGGATAGCTATTCCACTAATATGATAGCTACATTTGTATAAACTTCCATCGCCTAAATTTACTTAAGGAATGAAATAGTGACAGTATGGTAGACTTAAAAAATTAAACCGATATTTTTAAATTAATTAAACCATGTTTGTCTTTTACCAAATGAAATTGTTTTAAATACTGTTAATAAAACCCAGCCAGTCTCATAACCAATCTGTTGATAAAAGACTGTTTCACCTGGTTGTGTTTTAAAGTTCACTGATACATATGTATTTAGGTATGTATATTTGTGTCTGGGTCTCAACATTACATTGTTTGTCTTTATGTACATTATAAATCTCAATATAATTTATTGTATCTCTTATGAAACATTATTTTGAATTCTGAAAATAGTGCATTAGAAGACTTTAAAACTGATTTCTTATATAAGCTTTCAGAAAGTGCTTGATTTTAAAAAGTTGAAGAAAAAAATAATATATTGGGTGTCTACAAAAAGAATTAAACCTTGAACTATGATTTAAATATAAAGTAAACTAGTAATTATCTTATGTATTCTAGCTACCGAAAATGCTTTTTAAATGTTGCATATAAGAGCATGGATTAAAAATTAACAAATAATTTAAGTCTGTGGTTCTTAAAATATTTTGGTACAATTTTCAATCTACCATGCTGAGTTTTAAAACTTGACGTTTTAAAAAAAAAATTGGATGCTATATTATTATTAAGCCTATCAAATAATGAATGTATGTATCAATCACACATTCAAAAGCTATATGCAGAATTAATACTTATTTAATCATTTTATTTGTAAAAAAAAAAGTTATACGTCTGAATGCTTGTTATTTAATTTTGTGAATATTGTATGGTAATTGGACATGACCAATTTAACAAACCCCTTCCCTCCATCTTGTCTTGGTTCACTAAAGCCTGTGATGTTGTCATTGCTACACTGTACATATATTTATGTTGGATTCATTAAACATGTCAACTCCAAGGTGGGCTTCACATATTTTTTTTTTTTAAACTTGTATATTGTTTCTTAAACAGCTATGGAAACTGTCAAAGATGTGTCTTAATAAATTTTTCTACATGAAACAAAAAAAAAAATTCCCACCCAAAGACAAATGAAAAAACTAATTTATATAATCGTTTCCACCCCTACCCCTCTACCCTTGGAAATGTTTAGTTCACCCTAGAGAAAAATGTCTGAAAGAAACCCTTCTACCTAGGCTAAGTAAAGGTATCAGATTACTGCATCTGCCCCTAAGGAGTTATAAAAGGGTATTCATCATATTGCAACAATTCATACTGAAATTTGAGAACTAAATTGAGCTCTTGGTTATGAAAAAAGGTAGCTTTTATTATTAAATAGATTGTGATGGATCATTTGTAAAATGGGGAAATGATGAGTAAGAAATAATTCAAATTCATTTTTATTTGATACCAGTTTCGTTGAATGTATGCTAATCAATACAAGTAGTGGAAAAAAACGTTTGTATACAAACTGGTGTAAAAAAATTGTAGTGAAACATTAAACAGAAATTGAAGTAAATGTCAATAGCAATTGCATAAATTATTCATGTACTTACATACCTCACAGTAAACAGTCACTTTAAAACTAGTCTAAAGACTTATTTAGTATTTAGACTCAATAAAATGCAGCGGTTACAATTTAGGAATGATTATAAACTCCTCAGTTTAAAAAAAATATGCCTAACTAATGTGGCTGTGATGGGAATACTCATGGCTCAAAGCCTAGATGCTATGGCATGTAAGTCTCACCTCCTATATGACCCTCCTAACCTGTGACTTCAAGGTTCAAGTTAAACTGCCTAAGAATAGCTTTGTTGCAAACATATTTGTCAAGCATACTTTTCTGATGCTTCACATTCATTGGATTGGTGTTAGACATTTAAATTTTTTTTGTTCTCCCATGACATATTAAAAGAAAGAACACTTGTATCTTAGTGTAGTTTTGACCTATCTCTAAGTGCCCCTTGTATCAATGAATAGAAACTCTTGTGAGATGGCACAATGTGGATGGGTCAGAAAAAAGTGGAACTCAGCTGATGTAAAAAGTTCAGCTCACAAGAACAAGTCAGAATCATTTAGTGAATCAAATAGTTATTTATGTGACATAAGATGCTGCTTTGAGGCTTTAATTAAAATAACATAACATGAAAAAAAATAATTTTAAAACTATTTTTTTCTAAGTTTAAAGTTACTCCAATTTAATAAAATAGGAAATAATTGCAATTACACTTGAAGATCAAAGAAAAATATGGAGAAACAAAGATATACATTTACATCTTACTAATCAGAAGGGGTGTTTTGGAGTAAAATAAAAACCTAGTAGCAGAAAGTGACACCACTACTAGCTAGGACCCTAAACATGAAGGATCTCTGTGAAACAACAAACATACTTGCAGGAAAAACATACTACAGTGAGGTCATGTATGACAACATTCAAAAAAAGAGTTCAAACAGCTTGTGACAAAAATTATTGCATATGGAATATTCAGTAGTACTGCTGTTGAACATTAATACATGTACATTTAAATTGTTTTTTTTTAATTCAAAGAAAAGATTGGAAGAACAAACACAAATTATATAATCAAAATCATGTAGTTTTTCTACTTAGAATTGTCATCTTATACACTATTCATGATGACGTTTATAAAAGTAGAGGAATGATTCAATAACTTACACTGTCAGTCGTATAAAATATTTAGCTAGATCTATATTGACTATATTGTATTAAAATATTTTCCATTATTTATAGTTTTAATAATATTAAAGTAGACATTCCATTTAAAAATAAATGCCTTACTACCACATGCTTAAATAGAAAACTATTCTGCTTCAATTACCCAGCAAAAATTATTTTGTATCAAACATAAGTAATGTAATCTGTACAATAGTTGCATCGCTAAATTGTGATCCCAGTTATTGAAACAAAACTATTTTCATAACACAAACTACATTCTAATACATAAATTATTTTAAAAACTGTGTAGCAAGTGGCAATACACAGAAGCTAAGCATGTACAAAAACCTACTAGCTAAAAACAACTAGCCCTCTCTTGTATAAATGCATATCTGTCTAGAACTAGGAACAACTTTGAACACTTTCATAAACAGTTTATGGCAAAATTGAACGCTTAAACATATCATGGAATAAATTGTTTAAAAATTGTCAAAGATTAACACACTTAAACCAGATCTAAAAAGTGTTGTTTAAAAACTAATTGCCCTTTAAATGAAACCTTACAAATTTTTTTTGCTTGTAAAAACTATTATAAGTGAGTCAGCGTATAAAGGAAGCTTAAGACAATATATAATTTAATCAGAAAACAAAAAAGATCTACTACTTGTTATTTGACTGTAGTATTCTTAATAAATATCACCCATATGTTTAGTAGCTAAAAATTAAAAACAAGATAAAAATAATTCTGCCATCAAAATGGCTGTTCATGAAGGAGTTTAATAATTATACTAAATTAACTAAATAGTAGCATTAAAATATTCAGCAAGTAGCTAAAAAATGTAATTTTGTTTGTTAAAAGTATAAAGTAACAATAAAAATGATTTTTCTATAAATAATCACAGCCATTTAATAACCATATAAAAGTAGAACAGGTAATAATGGTACACCAAAGATGAGTTGGGTGACTAAGGTCTCCCTTCATAGCGGCCGTAGTCTGCACTGTGAACACTATCAGAGTCCATCTCCCGTGTGGGCATGTCTGGGTGTGAGATGAACATTGGCCCCTCCAGGGGATCCCCAGGGAACTCTTCCAGGGACCTATCAGGTGGTCCCACGTCTCCCCTAAAGCTGTGAATGGAATCAGAGTCTGGGAAAAAGCTCATGGCGCCACGTGGGCTCGCCTGCCTGCTGTCTGGGTACCTGGGGCTCAACATGCTGGACAGGTCACGGGTGGGGATCTCACGTCTGGACGCCCCCACGGTTATAATCCCCATTATGTCTGGGTCGCTGCCGTGTCGAGACCTGGCTGGACTCCGAACACTCTGGTCATACCGTACAGGGCTCAAGCTGCGCACATATGGGTCGTCCACGTCATAGCGTGATGGGCTGTGGCCACGTAGGTATCGAGCTGATGCCTGTGGATCTGGTTCAAAACGTACAGGGCTCATACTCCTCAAGGTCCTCTGTCTCTCCATGCGATCATACCTGGTAGTGCTAGGCTGACGGTAAGCACCAAAACCTGTACAGGAGTTAGAAAATTGGTTCAGGTTTGGCAAGAGGAAAAGATAAAAATTTTCTCTGAAAGTTCTAGGTTTGATAGGGCTAAACAATGCAATTCTACTTTGTAGAGATTGGATCATAAAACTAATTATGAATAATTATAATTAGACAGTATTATCAAGTATAATTACTACTACTATAACTACATTTAAAAGCTATGAACAGTTATTATAAAAACTGTGAAAAAGACACTAGTATCAAGTAGTTGCTATTTAAGATATGTGAATAACAAGAGACTGACATGTAGTTACAAACCTCCGTGGTCACCAATGCTGGACCTTCTGCTCTCCAGGTAAGACAGCCTGTGTGAGGGGTCAGATATGCTCTGTCTAGGACCTGATGGGTCAATACGTCCATCTGTTATGCTTGGTCGTCTAACTCCTTCACTAACTCTTGCTGCCAGTTCTCCTGTGTTTAACATGACAATATAATCATGTAACTCAAAGACAACAAATCATAATCAAAACATGACATCTATTTTAACAGTTTAATTAACTGAAGTAGTTCTGTAATGCTAAGAACAATACTGGATTGTATTGTTTAGACTGGGTTTTAAAATAAGCAAGTTAATTTCAAATATAAAAAAAAATTCATAAAAAACGTTTTAATAACAAGCTTTTATGTAATTATGCACTAAAAAGTAGAAAATAAATTATACACTACTATTTAAATAACTATAAAGAAAAGCGTGGGTCACTTTAGTATCTATTGGATACCTTTACTAATGTTAAGGAAGAGACCAACGCTTTTCTTTATAGTTATTTAAATAGTAGTGTATAATTTATTTTCTACTTTTTAGTGCATAATTACATAAAAGCTTGTTATTAAAACGTTTTTTATGAATTTTTTTTTCAGTACTTTACGTGTTTTATTTACAATAGAGTTACATGACTAAAAACCATTGCGCGCCTACTGAACGTAATGGCGCAGCCATTGAACGTGATGGCGCAGCTATTGAACCTGATGACGCGTGTGGTGTGGTTGGATAAACATGCCTACTAATTCGGTCCAAATTTTAATTAATTCATAAAAAATTAATTAGGCCTCCAATTAAGTCAAATTTAATTTCAGATTGCACTGTCTTCATGTCTTGACCCACGTGTCAAATGTGAATCGTATCGGTCAAGTAGAAGTGTCCGAATTTTCACTCCTGCGTTTCGATCTAGACTGACGACAGACAGACTGACGAGGAAGTGAGTTAAATAAAAGATTGTAAAAAGATCAGTTTTGGTTTACTCAATGCTTGCTGTAACAAGTATACAACTCTGTTATGAATTACCTATGGATGGCCTCCCTTGACCTGGCGTGTAATCACCAAAACTCTGTCTTCTGTGACTGCGAGAGTAAGCAGGTAGTGGACTCAGCTGCATCATCCTGGGGTCATCTGGGGCCAAGGTCTGTGATGTAACCATGGTGTTGGTATCTGTGTCTATGGGGCCTGGAAGTCTAGCTCGTCTACGAAAAGATCCCATGCGATACTTCTGTTCCCACTGTTTCTGCTTCAAGCGTTCCTCCCTTCTCTTCTTTTCTAATTCCTGGTAACAGATAAGTGATAAAGAAATGAAAACAACTCGTGTTCTAATTTTTAGATTTTTAAGTAAGATTAATTTGTTACAAAATATTATTATTTTAGGGTAAAATTTCCTATACAAGTAATAAAAAATTATTTATGGCAAAATATTTAGTCGTCTAAACAAAAATTTAAAGTTGGCCAAAATACAATTTAAGGTTGACAAAAAAAAACAATATAGGGTTGGCCAAACAACAAATACAGCGGGAGTGATCTCCCCTAAACTTCCTCATTATTTTAAATCCATTTTTAATTACTTAAACTTTTTAAAATAGAATAGAATCTCGCACCACGTGAACAGCCTACAATGTGTGTTTTATAGTGCAAAAAATTAGTACTTTATAAATTCACAATTTTTTTGAGAAATCGGAAATAAAGTAGGCCTACTACTTCCGATAAATGGAAATTACTCAAAATTTGAAAGAGGACAGAGAATTAGATATTTTACTTATATGTGAAATTTCTCTATCTGAAACAGTACTCAACAATTTTTTGCACAATTTCAATACTTCCTCTATACTTCATATACAAGAAAGTAGAAGGCAAACATCTTTACCTCAACTCTCTGCTTCTCCACAATACTGGTGACCTGCCCCAGAAGGTCATCCAGCTTGGTCTCTGTAGCATCTTTACCCATTGAGGCCAAGGACAGGGCACGGTCCAGGGGAAAGAAATCATAGTTCTCCTTACCAAGCTATGGGAAATGAGGAAAGAAATCATAGTTCTCCTTACCAAGCTATGGGAAATGAGGAAAGAAATCATAGTTCTTCTTACCAAGCTATGGGAAATGAGGAAAGAAATCATAGTTCTCCTTACCAAGCTATGGGAAATGAGGAAAGAAATCATAGTTCTCCTTACCAAGCTATGGGAAATGAGGAAAGAAATCATAGTTCTCCTTACCAAGCTATGGGAGATGAGGAAAGAAATCATAGTTCTCCTTACCAAGCTATGGGAAATGAGGAAAGAAATCATAGTTCTCCTTACCAAGCTATGGGAGATGAGGAAAGAAATCATAGTTCTCCTTACCAAGCTATGGGAAATGAGGAAAGAAATCATAGTTCTCCTTACCAAGCTATGGGAGATGAAGAAAGAAATCATAGTTCTCCTTACCAAGCTATGGGAAATGAGGAAAGAAATCATAGTTCTCCTTACCAAGCTATGGGAAATAAGGAAAGAAATCATAGTTCTCCTTACCAAGCTATGGGAAATGAGGAAAGAAATCATAGTTCTCCTTACCAAGCTATGGGAAATAAGGAAAGAAATCATAGTTCTCCTTACCAAGCTATGGGAAATGAGGAAAGAAATCATAGTTCTCCTTACCAAGCTATGGGAAATGAGGAAAGAAATCATAGTTCTCCTTACCAAGCTATGGGAAATAAGGAAAGAAATCATAGTTCTCCTTACCAAGCTATGGGAAATGAGGAAAGAAATCATAGTTCTCCTTACCAAGCTATGGGAAATGAGGAAAGAAATCATAGTTCTCCTTACCAAGCTATGGGAAATAAGGAAAGAAATCATAGTTCTCCTTACCAAGCTATGGGAAATGAGGAAAGAAATAAGTATTCATATTCTAGTAAGATCAGATTTTTCTGTGCAGATCTTTGACAGAAAACTGAGTTTAAATAAATTAATATTATGATTGCTGTGCAACCATAAAAGCTGGTAGACTCAATAGCCAAAGTACATAGAGTGGCTGACATTGTACTGTAAAATGGCAGTTAAACAATAGTAGCAGCTGCACGACATACATCTACAGCACATTGGGACTGTTACACACAACTAGGGGATCATTGTGATTCTGACATTTCGTTAGAATTTTGACAGAGTGGGGGTGGGGGGGGAACTTTCCATTTAATGGAGAATAATTGGTTTTTGTGATCTGGTGAATTGTAGGGGGGTAGAAATCTTTTTATTAAAAGGGGTAATATTATTTATTGACAATTCCATAATGATTAGAGATGTACAAGCACAGCACATACCAGCTTAAAGACATACAAGCACAGCACATACCAGTTTAAAGACATACATCTCCATCGCCGTATAATCATTGACTTTAGTGCCATTGAGGTGGATGAAAAAGAAAATGTAGGACCACATGTTGTGCTCAGACCTGACATGATGATCAAAGCCCTGTGGAGATACAAACACCAGGTTGACATGAAATATAAATGTGCTTGTTTGTCTTGTTATTCTTAAGCATCAGCTCAGATTTAGATTGTTTAATCTACTTGTAATAAATAAATTAACTGATGTCATAAAACAGCATAGAGTTTAAATATTGTGGGAGATATTACACATTTTATTCCCAATAATTTCGGAAGTTTGTTTTAAAAGTTAGTAATTAAGTAGAGAGAATAATTTAAAAAAATTTAAATAGTTTTTATTTACAAAAAAAAACAACAACAACACATCCTTATACAAAATGAATACATAAAATGAAAGCAGAGAGAGTATGAAAACCATACTGAGCAGCCAAGAACAACTTAGCAGCCAGATAAATAAAAACATGAAACTTCTGCACAGCACAGAGCAAGCAATAGCATGGATTCAGTTGTTGGCATACACACAGGGTTCAAACAGGAGGTACAGCATAGACATCACGTTAAAATAAAAATCTATTCAATATTTTGTTAAGGAAAACATAGCTTTTAACGAATGTGCATAAAAATATGTGTTAATTGAAAGAAATCTTGAAGTACATCTAAAATTTCTGGTTTGGAAGGTTAAGGCCACACCAAGTGCACATAACTCTCCTTTCATTACATTTTTATTTAAACATTAAGACAGTCACATCACCTGAGAAAACTGTAAGCAGGTATTTTTTAAATAAAAACCTGGTTTAAAATGTTTCATCTATTTCAAAGTATATTTTCTGCACATTTTACTGTAAGCAAGTATTTTTTATATAAAAACCTGGTTTAAAATATTTCATCTATTTCAAAGTATATTTTCTGTACACTTTACTGTAAGCAAGTATTTTTTAAATAAAAACCTGGTTAAAAATATTTCTTCTATTTCAAAGTATATTTTCTGTACACTTTACTATAAGCAAGTATTTTTTAAATAAAAACCTGGTTTAAAATATTTCATCTATTTCAAAGTATATTTTCTGCACATTTAAAAAATAAAACAAAAACCTCATTTAAAATATTTTATCCATATTTTCTGCACACTTTGATAAAAATCTTTTTTCTAATACCTAAAAATCAAATTTTCCAAAAACAAAATGAAAGCAATTTACTGCAATGAACTTTGGCTACGATTCTACCAATAATTGACTATACATGCCTGAATGTTTACTAGCCTACATTTTCCAAACATCAGTAAGAAGTAAAAGAAGAATGATTTAAATCATTACCTTTCCATGATGCTCAAAGTCGTATGAGTTCCTGCTGCAGATAAAACAAGTGTCCCTCATGTCTGACTCGGCTGTCCACTGTAACACAAAGACGTATGTTGTTGGTCAGATGATGTAACACAAAGGCATACGTTGTTGGTCAAGTGATTTAAAATTAAGGCATACATTGTTGGTCAGGTGATTTAAAATTAAGGCATACAATGTTGGTCAGGTGATTTAAAATTAAGGCATACATTGTTGGTCAGGTGATGTAACATTAAGGCATATGTTTGTACGTGAGGTCATGAAACCAGTGGCATTACATTATAGCTAATGGACTGTTTGGTATACTGATAATTTCTTGCTGATTGCTAGGTATAGTTATTGCTTTAAGGTAAAAATAACAACACTGTTGTCTTTTCTGTTATGATGCAGAATTCTGTTTGTAAAATACAAATAATCTTGTATAAGTTGTTTCAGAGCAATGTGCACATAATTAGATTTTACTCACAAGCTTTTTATTATTCAACAGATTGTTGGTAATAGTAATAGTGGAAATATAAAACTTGTTAGTCTATATAAAACACAAACCACAGAAGTCAAACAAGTACCTTGAGATCCCTGAGCTCGGAGAAAGTGTCGACTATGATACCAAAGATGATGTTGAGCCCAATGGTTGTGATGAAGATGAAGAAAGAGACATGGTAGAAGACAACTATCCCGAACCTCTCAAAAGTCCTCTCGTTGTCATGTGGTTTCATCACCTAATTTATCAAACAATTTTTGGTTTATTAAAAAATGTAGTAAACATAAAGTACACTAAATATTAACGCATTAAATGGTGATGGCAAAATAATTTGCCATACACAAATATAAATTTCCAGTGATGAAATATAATTTTCTTTTTATGTTTAATATTAGCCTGTAAGATTGTTCAACCTGCTCAGTCACGTAAAAAAAAAAGTTGTTGACAGAGTAGGAACTCGTTTAACTAGATGCAAACTTCTATTTTAACCTATGACTCACGATTAAATTATTGATATAAAAATTGATCTAATTTTGAAACCAATTACATAGCAGCTGTCTCACTGTACAGGAAAGGGCTGGGCTGACATGATCTTTAGGTCAACATTTTGTTAGAGATCATTCATTAGATTTCTTCAGTGGTAAACACTAGATGATTATATGCAACCAAATGAGATAAGTTTATTTTTATAGTATAGGCCTATTAGTCATTCTAATCTTACCAATAGGCTTCTGGGTAATGACTACAGTTGTTAGACGTTACTTTACTTTAACCCAGCAACTTACCTCACACAAATCTCCAATAAAACCCAGCAACTAACCTCACACAAATCTGCAATAAAACCCAGCAACTTACCACACACAAATCCCCAATGAGTCTCAGCAACTTACCTCAAACAAATCCCCAATGAGTCTCAGCAACTTACCTCAAACAAATCCCCAATAAGTCTCCACAACTTACCTCAAACAAATCCCCAATGAGTCTCAGCAACTTACCTCAAACAAATCCCCAATGAGTCTCAGCAACTTACCTCAAACAAATCTCAATGAGTCTCAGCAACTTACCTCAAACAAATCCCCAATAAGTCTCCACAACTTACCTCAAACAAATCCCCAATGAGTCTCAGCAACTTACCTCAAACAAATCCCCAATAAGTCTCCACAACTTACCTCAAACAAATCCCCAATAAGTCTCCACAACTTACCTCAAACAAATCCCCAATGAGTCTCCACAACTTACCTCAAACAAATCCCCAATGAGTCTCAGCAACTTACCTCAAACAAATCTCAATGAGTCTCAGCAACTTACCTCAAACAAATCCCCAATAAGTCTCCACAACTTACCTCAAACAAATCCCCAATGAGTCTCAGCAACTTACCTCAAACAAATCCCCAATGAGTCCGTAGCGTATGACGGTGATGGTACACTGCCACAGGGTGTCACAGAACAGATATTCCCCTGGGTCAAACATGCTCCTCATCATGGCAAAGCCAATCATGCCATACAAGTAGAACACAACAAGTCCCAGAACACCCACCCACAACAGAGACTTGCCTAGAGAGAGCAACACAGTTAAAACTCTCATAGATTTTATATTTTATCAACATCTACATTGAAATGAATGAAAAAAACAGGATGAGGTATGAAAGATTGCCCACCGTTTTGAGTGACAGCTTTAATAACACCGCTCAGTAGTTGGTTGTTGTTGACAATGTTTAGAAGATGGAAAGCAAAGAAATATCCATTGGAAAATGTGCCAATTACTGACAGAGCCAAAAACACCTAGGGTAAAGAGTGAGAACTTTATTATAATTATGAGAATCATATTTTTAAGAATGGCTAAAACAAACAGATTTAACAGACAATGAATAGGTTTATAAAAATGTTTTTACACTTAACTAGTTGTGTATGATAGTTGGGTCTACTAGGTGCTAATGGACTGAGAATTATAATTTAAAACCTAACACAGCATGTGTGGTTGTGAAAAACATGACAAAGGTGCTTTTGAGAAAGAAACAAAACAAATTTTCATTTTAAGTTTAACAAGGTTTGTAACATTCTTACAGCATAGTAGAAAGTGGTGACGCTGAAAAAACGAGCATCAAGTTTTGAAACATGTTTTCTTTTTTTGTCTTCATCTTCTTCATCGTCCTGTTTGTGCTTGAGGGATAATTTCCTGAAATTTTAAATACATTTTTTTAGAAAAGAAGTAAGGCCCTACACTTTACCCTGTTACTGGTCTAGTAGACATAGGCCACTCAGCCCAAAAAGAATACATTTCTATGATAAATATTGCAGGAAATTTAAAAAAAAAAAACAATTGGAGTATTTTTTTGTTAGGGGAGGGTGGGTGTTCCATAAACTTTTTACCTACTTAACTAGACAAGCCTTAAAACTGCAGAGAAAATGTTGAAAATTCTTGAAGATATTGATGCGATTTTGTAGAAGAAACAACAAAGATGTTAGCTTACTTGCAAGCGTTGATGCCATTCCTTATGCTGGGTAGCCGAGGGTGATTACAGACAAAGTAGCTTACAAAGACCAGCAGTGAGAGGAAGTTGTGGCAGCCCCCCATCACAAGAATTGATATGTGGTAGTTGTTGTCTGTCAGGGTGGTGATTTTAGGCACTGGGCTGTGGGGGACAGTACCATTTTTGTGGTTAACAAAATAAATTAAAAAATGGTAGCTACAGTGAAGTATATGCAAATTGTTATAAAAATGGGCAGTGTTAGTATCCTCACAAATTAACAGTAAAGATATCAACACTACCTGTTTTATTGCTATTTCAATTTTTGAGGTAATATATATATATATATATTTTCGTCACATGAAGATTTTAGAAGCAATACAGTTTAACAAAGATGTTTGTAAATGCAGTAATATCGTAGCATTAGATAGTACTGAGCTAGTAAACATAGGACAGTGTAACTATAAACTTGTAGTGAAACAAATTCTTACTCATGGATTCCATCAGGCATTCCTGTGACATTGTTGGCAGATCCAGGGCCCTTGATTGATGCCCTTGCCTTCCATGTGACCAGCATTAGAATGTTGATAGCGAAGCTGAGAAGTGTGACCAGATGGTTCCAGACTAGCCTTGAGGAAGGAAATACACATCGTTAGGCTTACACATCTTTAGGCTTACACATCTTTAGGCTTACACATCATTAGGCTTACACATCTTTAGGCTTAGGCTTACACATCATTAGGCTTACACATCTTTAGGCTTACACATCTTTAGGCATAGAAATCTTTAGGCTTACACATCATTAGGTTTACACATCTTTAGGCGTACACATCATTAGGCTTACACATCTTTAGGCGTACACATGTTTAGGCTTACACATCTTTAGGCTTACACATCTTTAGGCTTACACATCTTTAGGCTTACACATCATCAGGCTTTTATTTATATGCAATCATATAAGCTCAGTATAAACTATAACTATACTAATCTTCTCCTGTGTTAAAGTTGTATACTCATGCAGGTAGTCATGTTCATTTTTAGAACTGGGAAAAATAACATACCAAAGTAATAATTCTAATAAGTCACTGTCAAAGTTTATTATGTAATGATTTAAAGTGTATGTTGTAATGAAGGCAAACAGAAGGTGCAGAAAATTAATCAATATTACACATCAATAATCATATGTGTTAAAGATAATCCTCTCACCATCCTTTTGTCAACAAAATGGCCACTGGGTTTTTCAGGATCTTCTGCTGATATGCTATGTCCTTCATGATATCTTTTGTCCAGCCCATTAAGTCACGAATCTTGTTGCTAGGAGATGACCTATCCACGCCCCATTTTAATTTTTCCTTCACCTCTTCCCGCAAGACACGCTTTCAAAACAGTAACAATAGCAAGTTATTAAAATGTTTTGTATTTTAGTTATTCACAAACAGTTACTAAATCAAACACATAATCTTTCTAAAGGCATTTTAAAGTTTTTTATGTTTAAAAATTACATATGTGCATGTGTGAAGATAAATGATACTAAATTATTTCAGCCAAATTAGAATAAACAGGTGTTGACTAGTTTCCTTATGTTTTAAACACTTGATGCATTTTTACAATTACATTCATATGCCTATGTGCCACAATGTCCACAAATCAATGAAAATAAAATAAAAATACCCTGTTTTTAACTCTGAAGTTAATCTTCTGAAGGTCTCCTTCTTTTACAATTTCAATGGACATACAGTTTTTCTTGTAGAAGCTATAAGCTTTAGCTTGTAGTGGTGTCATCCTCACTATGCAGAAGCATAAGTAATGTTATCAATGTGATGCTAGTCAGTACACTACTGGGTTTAGCTAATTTCACTGACTCCAAATGTAATTTAAATGAAAACAATTTGAAAATGGAGTTTTTGTACTCACAGTAGTCGTGCAGCTTAGGGTCAATGTCACACATACGAGCCAGCAGCAAGTACAAACTAAATCCTACATCCATGTACTCATCAGCAAACTCCTCCTTTTGTTTCTTCTGCATTTAGATTAAAATACAATGAGTTAACTGACAGCAGATGGATATATTTAGATAATTCAATGTGAGATGAATACAATCATAATATTAGACACAATTCATATTTGTTAATTTTTTTCATTCATAAAGAGTACTTCATCTGGATAGCTACTTTTAATTTTATTTTAATCTGCCTATCATTTAAAGTATAGCATTAACAGAAATAAACTAAAAATGTTTTTAAATGTAATACTAACCATTACACCAGTCAACAGTTTCTTCCCTTTGACCAGATTTCTGGTAGAGGATAACTTCCCCTGAGAGCCCAGTGGATCAGCTAGTGCCTCCTCCAGTGCTTTCAGCTCCATGATTTTAGTTTTGTCAGTCTGGTGGCGCTCATAGCAGGTGGCCATCAGGGCCAGGACAGCTTTCTTGTCTAGGGTGTCTTTAACTTCCTGTCATGTGACCATGTGGTTCAAACAAACCAACACAATGTTCAGATTTTAAAATCTCTTAAGTTCACAATAGGAAAGAATTAAATTACGTTTACAATAATAACTGCTTACAATAATAACTGCCCTTTTATTGTTTATTACTTTTTTATTATAATCAAATAACTGTTGCTGTTTTTTTTTCTTGTTTTACTTGCATTCAACCAGTTCTATTTAATATATGTTGATTTTATTATGCTGACTATACCATGTTGATTTTTATTTTGTGTTAAATATTAGTAAATGATATAGGGATTTCATAGCACCAGAGTAGTAGAACAAGAAACTAACAGTTGTGACTTACATAAATAATGAAGTCAAAGAATGCTCTAGGATCAACACTGAACTTACCAAAGCCACTTCTGTAGCCCCAGGTCCATTTTCCTCTATCAGGCTCATCACCAGGTTAGAAATACTTTTTCTAAGCTCAAGTGTCTGTACACACAAACAAAAAGATAATATTTTACTGCGTAATAGATCAATAATCACAAACCTAAAATATGATGTAGTTAATGAAATGGTCGCAGATATGGGGGGGACAGTCGTTAATTTGAGAAACCTGTTTTAATATTTGGTTAAAAAATAAGGCTAGTAAAATTTAAAATGGTGGCTAAATAAGAAAGTTGAATAAGAAGTTAAAACAAAACAATTTGTTCAATTATTATCACACAGGTTGTCTTTTTTTTATAAAGAAAGAATATTAGTGAGGAAGTGATACACACCCAAAATATACTTTAAATACGGCTTCTCACCTTTTCAGTAGAACAGTCTCCAAACTCTCCTGACCTCAAGATAAAATTGATGTAATCAATGATTTTGTTGTCATAGATCACGACACGATTCTCTTGGTTACCCTTAGAAGTTGATCACAACATTAACATTTTTAGGAAGTGGAGATTACTTTGATAACTGTACACAGATTTCCTGGCTATAACTTTGTCAATCAGATATAGGATACAAATGAAAACTAAATGCCTGAAGAAACTTACAGCAGTAAATTCATTGATGGTCTACATTAGAATGAAAACTAAATGCCTGAAGAAACTTACAGCAGTAAATTCATTGATGGTCTACATTAGAATGAAAACTAAATGCCTGAAGAAACTTACAGCAGTAAATTCATTCATGGTCTCAAACAGCTGGATGACCAGGTCAATATTCTTGCTGTTGATGTTGGAGTAGACAACATTCAAGAAGCGGGTCACTTCTGCTATGATATCAAATGACTTGACATTATCTGGCTGTTCTCTCAGGTAATCCTGAAAGGATGGGATACAGCCAGTTGTAGGTTAGTGATATTTCAACAGACACATGGATGTTCTATAAGGTAAATAATCTCAAAGCTAAAAGCACATGACAGCTATTTTTAAGCACAATTTTTTTAAAAGATTATGACACTTGTTATTGAATGCTGAGGACGAAATCCTTAAGATGAGTTTTTTTTAATTCTTGGATCTAACCTTGAACCCTCCCCACACAACTACTTACCTTTAACCCTCCACACACAACAGGACCTTTAACCTACCCCACACAGCTAGACTTACCCTAAACCCTCCCCACACAGCTAGACTTACCCTAAACCCTCCCCACACAGCTAGACTTACCCTAAACCCTCCCCACACAGCTAGACTTACCCTAAACCCTCCCCACACAGCTACTTACCTTGAACCCTCCCCACACAGCTAGACTTACCCTAAACCCTCCCCACAGCTAGACTTACCCTAAACCCTCACCACACAACTACTTACCTTGAACCCTCCCCACACAGCTAGACTTACCCTAAACCCTCCCCACAGCTAGACTTACCCTAAACCCTCCCCACAGCTAGACTTACCCTAAACCCTCCCCACACAGCTAGACTTACCTGTAAGTGTTTGTTCTGGCCATCACACATCCTGGCCATGACCTTGAGCACAAGCTCAATATACCCATCATTCCTGTATTCAAAAGCTGACGTGTCAGTGGCTATAGAGTCTTGCTCCTAGTGAAGAGGAAATGATAAAACATACATAAAACTGCTCAGTAGCATTTACCCAGGTTAATCCTGTTAAAAACATATAGTAGGAGAATATTTTGCTAAGTCATCACATTTTAGATAGTGAAGTTATTTAAGATATCTATGTTAGACACAACTATATTTTAAAACAGCTTATAAACCAATTTACATACTAATTTGGAAAAAAAGTATTAATAAACAGAATTAACCTCCATTTTAATGGCCATATCACAGTCAGTAACATCCTGCATTAGTGCTTCATTTTCTTTAGCAATAGGATTTGTGAACGCCACTTCCTTGTCTTTCTTCAGGATTCCACTAATGTTGGTGACAAGGTCCTTGTTCTCTGTGTTTTTCTTGTTCCTGCTCTTGACCGAGGCATCCTTGCCATTGGGAGGCTTCTGGATGGGCAGCTTGTTTGGTTCTGGCGCCACTTTAGGTCTTTTCTTGGTGGGCGGCTTCACGCAAGATTTGGTGGTTTTTCTCGTCTGTCTCAGTGGTATCAAGGATTGCAAGAATTAACAAAATATGTTGTACAACTTGATCAATGTTAACTCAGTGTGGAGCTTTAAAGAGTAGGACAATCTTACCCTCTACAGTCATTCTTTTATTTTTTTTAAATGTACACAATTTTAAGAAAAAAAAGGGGTGATAGTCTTAATTTTGTTAAAATAAAATCAGCCCCTTCCCAAACACCAGACAATTTTTCTTAAGAGTTGTACAGATAAGTAAATAGAAAAAAGTCTAACCCAGCCACTTAGTCTCTGCTGTCTCATTGCATCTTCATACGCTTGTATTTGCTGATCAAAGAATATATGCAAATGTTAGCTTTTACGCTTCAAGAAAATTATGTAGATAAAGTGTCAATTAATTAAAGTTTTTATTGCTCAAGTAGCTTTACAAATCTCCAGTATTAAATTCTGAGATCGTTTAAATGCTACACCGTGGGTAACATGATAGACATGGAACTACACACACATACACATGTGCTATCACTGACACAGTAATATTACATGCACATACACACATACAAACCTAAATGTTATCACCGACATAACAATATTATATACATTTATAACTTAAACATAAGAATGATAGTAATGAAACTGCAAACAAGCACACATGTATAAGCACACACACAAGTATTTACCCTCAAAGCCATCAAGGTAACCATGAACATATTTTTCACTTTCTTGCTGTCAGAAGATTCTTTGAGCTTTGCCTCATGTTGTGTTTGAAGGGATCGCCTGTTAAGAAAAGGAAGTGTTTGTTAAAATAAATCTACAGCATGAGAGTAAGTAAATGTTACGCTTAGCTTGCTACACATTTATCATGGTAAACATAGAGTTGATGAATTTATAAAGTTGCTATAGATGTGATAACAACTTGATTCAATGGTTTGAAGCATTAGTGATTTTAAGATCAAGAATGTCAATTTGTTAGCTATACTCTATAATTAATACTCTAGCTATAGTCATTGAAAGCATCAGCAGAAAGAGTTGTCGCCACACCATTGATTGGTGACTTTAGAACGTCAAACAATGGGAAGATGTCAACAAGGTTAGTTGTTAGAGCTTACTTTTCTTTGATGGAGTTAGTGGACAGTGCCATTCTGTCTCTGACAGCCATGAAGAAAACCTCCTCTCTTGTAGAGAAGAAGTAGGTCAGCATAGATTGCTGAAAAATTAAACATAATTTAGTATAATTGTTTCTGTCAAATAAACTGCTATTTGTAATAACCAAACACATTTTTTAAATAAAGTGACGTGAGTAAAATGTGAATATTCCTCATGTTCTAGTTAGCTTTAAAATGTACTATCCACACATATCTTATCAAACTACACCAGTTAGCATAAGCTATTCAAAATGCAATACCAACTGACCCATCAGACAAAAGTAAAGACCAGCACCAACCTGCACTGTATCATTAGCATTGAACAACATGATACACAAGAACGCCAGCACTTCTTTAGCTATGAAGTCATTTCTGGAAGCCAGGTGTGGTAGTGATTTTTTCATGGCACCTTTCTGGTCATACAGGTTCTGTATGGCAGCTACAAACCTCAAACCTCTGGGGGGGGGGGGGGGGGGGGGGAAGGGGGGGGGGGAAAGAGAATTGTACACGGTCAGAATGTTACACACAACATTATTTCAGTACATCTCAAAACACAGACAGAACACATTCAGGGAATCTTTTTTTCAGTGTTATGGCTCTTAACAGATTTTTTAAAATACTTTTTTACAATGTATCGATCTATCAGTTGTTTTAAAAATAATAATAATAATAATTTCATTTTAATAACAATTAGTACATTGTTTAATTAACCAGCACAACTGATAAGTCAAAGATATACAATAATTAAGAATGTAAGCAATGTTTACTTTTTAATCTTAGGTTCACTGGTGCGTGTCGCCCAGTCTTCTGGCAACTTCCTCTCCTCGTTGTGGATCATGGCTCGTAGCACCTGGAAACATTTGATGTTGAGATCATCCATCTCTAGGCGAGCTGACTCTGTCAGTCTCTTGTACTCAAGGGAGATCCTGGTGGATACAGTGGCATGGTCCAGGAGACATTCTACAATCGTAAGACTAGATGCTGAGTATAAATGTGTAGTAGAGATAAGAGGTATATAGTAATAACAAAAGATTGAAGTGCTTTGTTAGAGCAATGTTGGATAGATCAGAGGTACTTAGAACAAGCTTAGAATTTTATATCATGTTATGAAAACTATCTTCTGAAAACACCAGTTGAGTACATACGCCAACTATTCTATCAGTTTAACAGCAGGTATTTGATTAGTGAAGTAGATAGTGGATATATCAGAGATATTTAGAACAAGCATAGATATCATGTTATGAAGACAGCAGTTGAGTACATACGCCAACTGTTCTATCAGTTTAACAGCAGGTAAATATTTTTTCTCTGGCTTCTTCTCATGGATGTCCACAAAACACCTGACCAAGCTCTGAAACTCTTCCCCTAGGGGGAGCTCTTCATCTCCATCAATTACTGTGTAGGCTGTGAGAGGGTAGTAAACAGAATAATACAGTTAACAATTGGTAGTAGAAAACTACTAAATAGTAAAGAATCAATCTTACTTAAGTAAAGAATCAATCTTACTTAAGTAAAGAATCAATCTTACTTAAGTAATGTCCGAAAATAGTTATTTTCAAAATACAATTAGCTATTACAATAGGAAATATTTAAAAAAATAATAATCAAGTTTTAAGAAAATATTGTTCTTTAATCTACAAAAATAAATAAATCATTTTGTTAATTGAAAGATTTTATTAAAATACATTTGTTTAAGAGTGGTAGCAATGTGTTGAATTTATTAGGTGTGGAAAGTTTACTTTCAATTGATTAAGTACAGTGGGCCAACTCTTTTACTTTCAATTGATTAAGTACATTAGGCCAACTCTTTTAATTAATCGCTGCACATTTTGACACCTGTGACAAAATGGCATGTTGAAAAAAAACCCAGTCAACTCACGTCTGGCCATGTTAAATTTCAGCTGAGCAGTGACCGTGTTGTGTCCAGCAAACACAGCAGCACAGTTTCTAGCATACAGCCTGAATTTAGCATTTAGCTCAACCTCGGCTGAGTAGTACTCTATGTTTCCCTGCAGATAAAAATTGTGTTAACAGCCATTAATTTATACAGAAGAATCATGTGTTACATGAAAGAATAGTTTAGAAGGAGGTTGAGTCTTACTTACTCTTCTTATAGCACTTGATGTGTCTTCAACTGTAATTCCAGAGGCAAACCGCTCCATAACACTCTCTAGATTCTGACAAGTAAATATGGGAGGCCTTGTTAATTTTCATCACAAAAACACAACAGTATGATGTATTTACTCAAGTTTTATGATAAATATTAATGCAATATTAATCAATTACAAAACGGAATGAACAATAATAAAATGTGACTAATTTCCTTAATACTGCAAAATTAATTCCTCCAAAATTATCTCCCCTTCTCCGTTTTAGTACATTAACATAGCAAGTTTCACATTAACAACATACAGAGTTTGGCATGTTAGAAATAGGCACGATGACAGCCAGACAGTTGACAAGATTTTTCATATGCTGGGGCTTAAACAGCAAAGGGCCGACAATCTCACCAAACATCTGAAAGTGGAGAAAATAACATTTCATGTTACAACCTTTTAACGCAAGTATTTGTTAGTTGGGAACCATAGCATCCATAATAACAAATGTCTTATAGATGAACAGATACCAGCATGCAGAGAGGTCAGGTACTAGAAGAATAATGTACTCACCACACAAGCCTTTGCCAGGTGATCTGTTTCATCAGCCTCGTTAGAATGTAAATGTTGGTCAGGGAGGTAAAAATCTCTGTAGAAAGTCTCCAAGAAGGGCAAGACACCTTCCAGAATGTACAGAACTGTGCCATAGGTTGAACTCTCAAAGTCTGGAGCACTGGCAGAGCCACTGTAAAACATTTCATCTTTGTCATTACATACTTTTTATTTGAAGGGTTTCATATCAACACAGAGAATAATATTTTTATTTCATTTAGAATTACAAAAAAAAAATAGTATTACTGTTCAACTCAAGCCAAGTAGGAAACACAAACTATCCTGATTGTACCTTTTCTCAGGTGCAGTTTTAAGATGTATGCCAAGCTTCTCTGGATCATCTCTAATGCTGTCAGTCAGTCGGTTGATCTCAATGGACAAGGAGGACAGGTACTCCCACAGCTCACTTGGTTAAAAAAACAAAAACCACGCACATTTCAATATTTTATACAAGATTACCCACTAAAGCACCTGAGATTTAAGTTCAAGATCTTGGAAGAATAACAGATTTGATTAAAGCACTTGGCAGACAACACTATAAAATTTTCATGAATATTTTTGTTTTAAATAGATTACTTTTGAATATGTCAGATATAATGAAAGAAATAATTTCTACGCCTAAATATTAGTTTTAAAAAGTGTTACCTTTTTATGCATTTATAGGCCTACAGTACATAGTTATATTATGCTTATCTATAAAAATTTCAAGTGACTTTAAGAAAAAACTGACATTAAGAAACAAATGTTTGCTTTTAAAAAGCTTTGGCCAATGATAGCCATGCAGTGAAAACACCTGATGTAAGAGTGGACCAACTATCCCAGCTCATATAGCCAACAAAATTGTTGTTGCTTTCATGCAAACTTTTTGCCAAACTATTCAGATTTTTTACGGAATGAACAGTTAATATTCAGCCAATACACTAAAAAAATAAGTTAAATTTTAACATAACTGTGAAAGTCATAAGCATAAAAACTTTGTAGGTTTCAGGATGTCATTTATAAAAAATAACTATTAGGCAACATTTTACAGAAAAGCTCAGAAAACAGTAAAAAGAAAACTATTAAAAGCAGAAATAGTTTAATAACAAACTGCAAATTGTAGAGGAATAAAATACAAAACTTAAATACACAATTATATAATGGGTAATCCTAAATTAGGGCACAGAGAATAAGAATGGGGCTGTTCAAATGAAAAAAATTATGGAATAATTAGTAAAAAAAAGTTTGAACTTTCCCCTAGTTAGAATTTGATAAAAACTGAGGTGTAGTAAAATTCAACAAATTTTAACAAGTGCAGCATCTGAAAGCACATAATAACATATGGATTTCTCTATCCTCTATTTACAAATACTTCCCTCTTAGTGTGATTAATTTGTCAATAGGCCTATTAAAATCATGAGTTTAATTAATAGTACAGTTTTATATTTGTTTAAAAACCCTTGCCGTTCTTAGATTAAAATTAAACACCAACTAATTATAAATCATGCAACATAAAACACTTAAATTCATATACATGCGGATTTAGTAGTGTTAATATAGTTAACAGTCAACAGTATAAGCAATAATTAAATAGCACAGATAAATGAACAGAGACACAGATTACTTTCTCTTCTTTTAGATGCACCATATATATATATATATATATATATATATATATATATATATATTAAAACTGCAAATGATCAATGCTCGCTTGCTTAAGCGATTGAGTGAGGTCAAAGATGTAGCCAATATGTTACTATACTCCCCATCATATCAAACGATGACATGATGGAAGACATTAAGACAGTTTATGCTTATTATAAAAATATACATTACGCAATGTATATCAGATATTTGCAAATATTTGTGTATCTATGTAGCTTTATTTTTCAAAGAAATGTAAATTAAATTTTGAAACTTTAAAATAAAATAAAAACTGTGTAGTGTTGTCATCTGAAAATATTGTCACAATGATGTCATACATACAATACAAACTCTAGATAATATTGATAAATATGTTTCTATTGTTTGTATTTTTTAAGATGATATATTCAAGAGTTTAGGTTTTATTTTTTATTCAACACAGTTTTAAAAAATAAAATATTTTTGGGACTTCAGATGTAGCTTCTCTCAGTAAAGTGTTTGATTGACAAAGTGTAATGAACACAATGAACCAACTAATAATACAAATTATTTTTTTAAGATAACGTTTAACATTTGTCTATGTTACTGTTGTTCTTTTTCTAGTTTGCTAAAGTAATTACATTAATATTTATTACTTTTTAAAGATACACACATTTTTAAGGGAATGACCATAAAGAAAAGACTTTATAAGCTGTAGTGAGATATATATTTTAAAATATAAGTAGAGGAAAGTCAAACTGCCAGATAAAGTACAAACAGGTTGAACAGAACTTGAAGATAGAAACTAAAACATGAAGATTTATGGGATTTAGCCACCAATTAGGTATTTGTAGCAAAGCTCTAGCTTAAAGGTTTTGCTAGAAAATTGATACCTAAAGGATACAAAATATGACTAAGATTCAGACAGGCAGGAATGAGCGGCTATCATTACTATCAAAAGCTAGGTTTAACAATTACTGCTATTGAATAAAGAAAGGCCAATACAAAAACGGTTAAGTAAATAAATTGTAGTGCTCAAATAATTTACAAATAAAAATTATAGGCCCTATCATTTTGAAATTTTTTTCTTCAGATATATTATATGACAAAGTCATGCCTCTGTTTTTGGTGAAACAACAAAAACAAAGCTTTGTATACTTTACTTTGAATATTAGGAAGTAAATATTAAAATAACCCTTATGAACGCTGATTTTAGGTTTGTTATATAACTAATAGGATTTTCAGCTTCAGTTTTGAATATTGATTTGGCAGTAGTATGTGTGTGGCTTAAAAAATCTGGCACATACTCCCAACTCCTCATCCTGATGTAAGTAAGCAATAAAACTACCATTTCAAAGTTTTTCTTGTACCTTATGCCATAATGAATATGTGAGCTCATAATAAATATTTGACCTTAAAAAAGATATACACACACAAAGAATGTACTTATAGCATATTGTGTAAGTTACTATATAACAAGGGGATTCTATTGATCTGTAAAGTTTTTTTAATGAATGTTTAAGGCATAAGATTTGGGTAAATCATGCTAAAACAACAGCCAGTAGAACTAACCTAGTGAATGAAAGTGATCTAGCTAAACACAGGCTCTCATACTAAAAAATGCTCTAGATTTTGTTTCAGGCAGCTTACATACACTGAAAAAGCACTCTCATTTCCAGAAGGGTCATTTGCTCCTTGCCTAGAAACAAGATTCAGATAGAAATTACAAAGTTACTACCACATGATTGCTTTACTTCAAGGGTTCTCAAATTTGGCCTGATCAGCAAGAGTATTATAACACACCCAATTTTTACTACGTTATAGTTTCCTATATTATAATTAACTTCACTCTGCTAATTGGTTCATTAAATTCATCAATACATATGTATGTAAAAAGTTACATATTATGTATTGGAGATTTTCTGAAGCCATTTCTAAAATCCTCCAATGAAGCAAACTTTTTCTAACAGAATAACATTATAAAACAGTCTCTCTCTGATAAGCAGCAACAATATTTAAAACGTTACGACAGAAATACTGTAAATTATCCTAGACAATGATTATCTAAACCCAACTAAAGAGATGTAGAAAATTCAACCCTAAATAGCATATAAATGTGACAATATTTGATCTACAAACATCATGCTTTAAATATTTTAGTAATGTTTGTCAGAATGTCACAACATTGAGTTACTAATTGAATTTTTGCTTAGATTTATCCCTTAAGAGCCATCCTAAAATTACTGTGAAAATTAATGCAGAAAATTATAAAAAAATGTACACAATTTTGATGAGCTCTGATATTTAATTAGGGCACATAAAATGTCATCTAGAAGAACAGCAGTGCCTTTAAGTCCTAAAGAGAAAACGTTAATTGCCATTAACAAGTGACCTGATTGGTTAAGACAGCTATGTTCTTTTGTAAAAGCTAAACTTGCAGCTTCGAGTGGGCCAAATATTGGCAAATAGAACACTATTCATATAGATAGTTCTATATTCCTTTATGAACTTTAATAGGTACTAAGTTGGCTATTTAGATTTCTTTCTCCAAAAAACTGTATTTAGATCTAGTCAATTTATAGAACTGTATCTGTTTCTGGATTATTTAATATAAAGCTAGTAGATGTAGAGTAGTCCTAGTTGATTACAGAGTAATGTAGAATGTACAGTGAGTGTTGCTCATCAATGTAACTAGGTAAAGTCTACTGCTACTTTACTGACTTAACAGCTTTAGTTAGTAGACCTACCTAGATCTCTAGATCTAACAATTATCAACCTAGGATTAGAGAGAATCTATTATATATTTTTATATCTAGATGTCTTTTTTTTAAGTGTTACATAGATCTAGATCTAGATCTATGTGTATTAGTGTAAAAAATGTAGTTAAGTGTAGTTAAGTGTAGAGTGAGGCATTTCCTTTATTTTAACTTTTAAATAAATGGATCTAAATTATTTTTTAGTTTTTGCTAATGGGAGCATTTCAACAAATTAGATTTAATTTTGGTAATCTATCGTTTTGGGTACGTAAAATCGCCCGCGGCTATTAATGAACGAAAACGTTACCTCATTATCAAGGCTGTAATAGAAGTATATTGTGATATGTTTGTGTCAAATGTTATAGATAAATGAATAATAAACCTAAATCAATGGCTAAATATATCAATATAGGCCAGTAATTAACTTTAAACAGCAGTGTCTGCAAGCAAGATTTGCTATATAAACAGCAGCCATTTGTAAAATAGAGTGACTTCCGCCTGAATCTTGCGCTATAAGTCTATAAAAATAAAACTTTAACAAGATGGCTGCTATAATAAATGAGCATGGTTGCATCTGTTGGAAACATCGCTGGTGTTCATTTATTACTGAAAAGTTTTTATTCAATTGTTTAAAAACAGGTACATAAATGAAACAAGGAAACATTTTTGTATTTTTCAAAACATAAATCCTCCTCAAAATGTGAAATAATTATTAAAATGTAAGGAGTCACCTGTTTTTCACATTACTAGTCGCGGGCGATTTTACGTACCTAAAACGATAGATTACCTTAATTTTATATATAGCTAATAGCTAGAATTCTCTAGCTAGAGTATCTCTAAATCTAGATTTTTTAAAAACTCTTTACTTTGGATCTATAAAACTGAAAATAAATTCTGAGTGAGCTTTACTCTTTACTTTACACATAGAGTCTACTAGATCTATTCTAGATCTAGATCTATACTTTAAGAACTATTTCTAAATAGTTAAATGTCTGAACTTTTGTGTATTCGATACCAATTTATTTATACAACGAAGCGATTCCCCAATATTAATGCACAGCATGCATGCAACTAATACTGCGATTCCACCAAACATTGTTATTGTTTTATAATCGATTACCCATGAAAAACATCGTGCTGAGGTCGGTCGTGTTGCATTCTGTAAGTTAAATGAGGCTTTTAGTTTAAAAAAAAACATGTTTCAGAAATAACCAAATAGTATAAAATAGTTCGGCTATTGTACAGGTAAGCAAATCTATTTAGATCTAGTAATTATAATTATGCACGAGTAATTATTAACCTATTGTGAAAATCGATTCCATGTCTAGCCGATATTTACCGCGCGTCTACAAATCATTCAGATCAGCTCTAGTCTAAACAACAAAAATCACCGAACATAAAAAAAAATACCCACTAATCTTTTTCACATAACCCTAGCTCTCTTTAATTTTTAAACAGTAAATCTCAACCTACTCGGTTGCATATTTAGATCTCTATTACGCATTTCACGCAACTCTTTTCAATTGTAGCGCACAAATCAACAACCGTAGTTCGTAGTTAACTTTTGTGTAATAATTCGTAGATTAGAAGTCATCCATAAAAGACGACACGCTTTTGACGACCCCCCCCCCTCATCCATCACACATTGTCACAAAAACCCGACCTCCCCTAAAATGACGTCACACATCAGCCTACAGCCCCCTAAAAATTGCCGTTGAACTCCCACTCATAAGAAAACACAATACCTCTAGCGCTCAAGTTTCAAATGTTCCTCGGTACGAAGATCCGGCCGATAAAAAAAAAATTACTTGAGTCACGTAATGTGATTATGATTACAATCACATTTTTGCAATAAAAAGCTGAAATAACTAAGTGTTTGAAAACTAAAGAGTGCTCAAGGTGTTTGTGTGTAAGTGTCGTGTCTGTATTGTTTCCATTGGTTTTGAGTTCATAAATGGTACGTTTGTGATGTGTTATATAGGCCTATTTAGATTTTCCCCCTTTAAACTTTAACAGGCAAGTATTCTTTGAAAGTTCCTTTTAGAGGCTTGAAGTTGAAATTGAAACAAAAACAACATCACAAAGAGTCCAGCTTAACCGACAACACGAGGCACGATATTTTTTCCACAAAAAATGTTACATGTTATAATTGTAGATCATATTGATTCTATTGACCATACATACCAAGATAAGTTGTTAGTATACATACAATATGTATGAATCAGACATAGTTGAATGTTGTATGATAAAGTCACATACAAATAGATAACATATAGGCAGCCAAGTTTCAGGAAGTAACATAACTCCAAGTCCCAATAAAAATATAGGTCTTTTGTAATATACAGGCAGGGTCGGGCTTGGAAAGAGGATACATAGATAATCAAATAGCCTACACCACTGTACTGAGATTTACACGAACTTTATTTAAACCTAACGTTGCGGCTTGGTACTGCTACATAAAGATTACCATATACAGAGGAAAGATTAACATATAATGGTTTATTTATTATTTATGTGGTTAGTTACATATAAAATATAACGCTGAATATGATGTAAACAAATACATACTCAACATAAAAATGTCCAAATTGGGTTAGTTACAGTGTTAATTTAAAAAGGTATAAATAATAATAAAATAGAGATAACGCATCCGACATATCATAGAGTATGAAACAATCAAATACTGAAAGAGTTGAAGTTGAAACAAATAGTTAACAAATCATAAGAAAACAACGATTCCTTGTCGAAAAAAATTGTCTGTGTTTGTTCTGGTTTGTGAGGGGGGCAGGAATCAGGAAGAGAGTAATGAATGGCGGACTGAAGATGGCGCTGTTCTACAAGATATCTAACAGACTGCAGTCGTCGATTTTGATGTTTAATGATGCCTCTGTTTCGCGTTTGTTCGATAAAGAAAATACTAGTCTCACAAGACCATAACAGTACATAGAGAATATTACCGCCCCTTCGTAAAAAGTAAATGTCACAAACGGTCAACCCCAGCCGACACCCCTGGTAAATTTACTAAGTCTTTACCTACCACCTGATGCACAAATTAAATGTATACCATGTGATGGTCGCTCCTATCACATACAGGTGAATGAATTTCACGTGATCACCCCTTACTAATGCCACATGTAACATATCGAATCTTCGCCCCCATACAGATCTGACGCTCAAGGTGAATACATTGCAAATTATCACCCCTATCTGATGCTTTAGGTAGATGTATAACAAGTGAACATTACTACATCTGACGCCCCAGCTAAATATATGACATATGATTACCCCTAGGTAACGCCCCAGCTAAATATATGACAAATGATTACCCCTAGGTAACGCCCCAGCTAAATATATGACAAATGATTACCCCTAGGTAACGCCCCAGCTAAATATATGACAAATGATTACCCCTAGGTAACGCCCCAGCTAAATATATGACAAATGATTACCCCTAGGTAACGCCCCAGCTAAATATATGACAAATGATTACCCCTAGGTAACGCCCCAGCTAAATATATGACATATGATTACCCCTAGGTAACGCCCCAGCTAAATATATGACATATGATTACCCCTAGGTAACGCCTCAGCTAAATATATGACAAATGATTACCCCTAGGTGATGTCCCAGCTAAATGTATCACACTTAGGTCTCATCTAAAAAGTCTAAAGTATTGACGATATTCTATTCTTTCAATTTGATATATGCAGCTCTAAACGATAGAAAGAAAGCTCATTTATAAATTCTTTAATTAAGCCATTCCAAGTTGTTGTTGATTGATACCATGCTGCAGATAAATCAGATGTAAACAAAACTGAGAAAACGATAAGTATTAAAATGTTAGTCCACTGAAAAGGTTGTAAACAAACACACACAGGGGGTTAAACATTCCCATGAACGCCAAAAGACAGAGATGCGCCGAGGAAGAACATTATGTTGGTTGGTGAGAGACAACTTGGAGCAGATACACGGATGATGTGAATGTGGGGTATACACAAACACAAAGACATGAGATCCCCTGGGCGAGACACCCCCCCGTCACCAACAAGTGCCAGCGCAGAGGGTGTGTGACGTCAGCCTTACCACAGGTGCTCGCACACAACCTCGTGGATGTATTGGAATAGCCCTCTTGCTTCGATAGAAATCCTAAAAATAAGCGAGCAACAATCATACTTGGTGTTAGCGCGATTTACACATTTTTCTGTAAGGAAACAAAGTCGTGTTGAAATGGTTGTGGTGTTCTTATGGTTTATGAAATAAACTGAGTAAACTGTCACTTGCTGTACAACCTGCATAAAATAATAAAAATCATACTTAAATAATACATTATGTTGGTAATTTAAACACCATAGTATCAAATAGAAATAGTGGCTAATGAAAGTTGAAAGGATGCATTCATTTCAGTGTATAGCTCCATAGAATAAAAAACCATTCGTATGGTGCACCGTTTGTATCAGAAAGAACATTGAATATAAAACCATGCCGGAGATTGCAACACAAATTCTATTGGAATCCATGTTGCAGTTTTCTGAACCACTGAAACAATAAGACTCACATCGTCGTGCTTGTTGCTTCAAACTCCAGGGATGTGAAAGTATTAGAACGGAAAGAAGGGGCGTTTGGAGCTTGAATCCTTTGGTTTTTGGAGAAAAATTAGGTAAAGAATGATTGAGATCGCATGATTCGTGTAGTATATTAAAGTAAAGATTGTGTTGTGGTTTTCATCTCATTTGTCTTGGCTTATAAAAAAAAACAGGAATAAAAAAAGTTTTAGAATGACTGTTATAAAAAACAGATACTAATCATGTTCACATAGCCTTGTTAGATTTGAACCAGACATTCTCCTGATAACAAGTCACCACATTAAGACTCCTCTGATGCTATAAATGGCATAACACCGAGGTTGTCCGAAGATTTCTAGGCTAGTTGCAGGATCAAACACATGTCTTATTGTTTAATGAAGCTTGAATTGAGTTTTCCTTACAATAAACTTTTCATAAAGAGTAAGTTGTAGGTATCTGTGTAGCTAAGCAGCTAAGTAGGTCGAATACTGATCAATAAATTATTTTTGCCATGAAAATCCAATGTTAGCAAAATTTTAAAAAAATCTGTCACAATTTGAATATGCTTAGGAGGAAACCAATGACGCACATAATGAAAATGTAACATTTGAAGCAGTGTTCAATCGATGAATCAATTCTTGTCTAAACTCCAAAATATAATAAAGATTTTGAAAAAAAAAATGGTTAGTTAAAATACCGAAACTACAGCATACATTTTTAGTAAAGTACAATGTTTAGGGTTATTAGGACACACAGAAGATATAAATTCAATGCATACAAATAACACTACCCTAAAATTGATTTGCAATAGTGTATAAATTATTTGGATATTAGGACACACACAAGTTATAAGACCAGTGCATAAGCTAACAACTGTAAAACAACGTTCTATTATAAATAAATTGTTCCCATTATTCTTTATGCATTATATCAACATAAACTAAACAAATTATAAATATTAAATGGATTATACCACAGGAGTGTAGTGTTAACTTAAACTTTCTATAATTCTAAGTTAAAGGAAAATGGTTTCTCTCTGCTTCATTGATTAAGTTATGCTAGAATGTAAACTTTTTCTTTCTCTAACAGTATTGCAGCTAATGGATGTGGCAGTTTGTAAATAATTTAATTAAAAGGTTGAAATAATCCAATCGACTTTACTGGAACAATACGGGTTATTATACAGACATGCTGTTTGTTATTATTTCTGGACACAAAACGGAAGTACTTAAACCACGTGATGAAAACAAACTCACGTGTCATGTGGTATCTCACTGGTCTGCATGTCGACGACGTTACCGGTGCTCTTCATGTAGACGTGATGCAGACAGCGGAGGAAGGGCTTTTTGAGCACGTTGTCGATGGAGGGGTTGTTGAGTATAGCCAGGAGGTCGTCCATGGGCAGGATGGTCTGACACAGGGACTCTATGAAGAGGTTCTCACCCTGGTAGGTCGTGTGGCCGTGTCGTGGGGAACATGGATTTTATTAGAATGGCATCAAGAGTCAGAGAGGGAGAAAAGAAAGGGTGGGGATGGGGGGGGGGGGGTGCTGATGGCACAAGGTGACAACCGACATAGTGACGCCATTTATAAACACGTTTGGTTTGATGTTAAAATTATAAACACGTTTGGTTTGTTGTTAAAATTATAAACACGTTTGGTTTGTTGTTAAAATTATAAACACGTTTGATTCGTTGTTAAAATTATAAACACGTCTGATTTGTTGTTAAAATTACACCGCATAGAAGTTATCACATTGAACTTGACTGTAAGTTTATAAACTTCCATGGTAAAAACTTCTGTGAACATAACATCAAAGGGAAATCACTGAGTGAAATAAACTCACCTCAGCGCAGGCGGCCAGCAAGTCAAGCAGACATATATAGTAGCGCAGCCTTGACCTTTTCTCTGCTTGGCTCAAAATCACTTCCCTGAAAATGTACAACACATCAACATTTGATTCAAGTTCAATATACTGAAAGGAATATCAATATCATCATTTGCCATACGATAGTTAAACAGACAACACGACTCTCTGCATATGTTCAAATCTTTCATTCACACACAGATAACATGATCTGTCTATAGTCTATAGCAGGGGTCGGCAACCTTTTGAAGCGGAAGAGCCAAAAGTTACAATTTTCAAAATTTCCCTGGTTTTAAAGAGCCATCATTTTTTTATTTCAAATATTTTTTTTTTTATTAAGATTATTAGTATTTGTTCAAGGAGCTGGAGAGCCGCATCTTGATATCAAAAGAGCCGCATGCGGCTCGCGAGCCGCAGGTTGCCGACCCCTGGTCTATAGTCACGTGACAAAGTCCGCCAATCACCTCTCTTCTCTGGGCAGGTCTAGAACGAAGGCCACCTTCTTGTAGTTCTGCATGATGTACTTCATCACGTACGCCTGGTTCCGCTTCAGGGTCAGGTCAGTGCCGGCGACCTTGACAATCATGGAGAGAAGGTCAAGGAACTCTGGCCCTTTCTCCTGCAAGTCTGCTGCCCGGTTGACGATCTTCTGGATCTGTCTGGGGTTGATCTTCAGGCAGGTGTTCTGGTTCCCATAGAACACCTGGGGATGGTAGTATACATGGGGGTAATGCAACTTTTAATAGAGCCACAAGAATTGAACATTTATTTACACAAACTTCTTCTTCTTCTTCTTCGTTCTTAATTATTAGTGTTGAAGGGGATCGAGATTTATCTGCCAGTGGGTTTGAACTCGAGACTTTGTTCGAATTTATCAACCATGAGCTTTTTGCCGACTCGACCACGCCTCCAACACAATTAAGCGTTACGTGTCAACTGGTTATGCGCCATTGAGGCCATTGACTCCGATTTCAGCCTGCTTTTCTTTTTGGATTTACTTCCATAGCCTTTGTCCAACCAAGAACAAACTACAAGGCAGCAGTATTTACACAAACAAATTTAAAGTTTTAATAATTAAATTAGTCTAAATTTACATGAAGATATAACTATCTTTACTGTTGATAATCATTTTTGAACAAATATAAATGCTACTGGATAACGTGACCAAACCACGTGACCTCTCTGAGAGCGATAGCCAGCTCACTCTCTACAACGCGAACGTCCAGTAGGATGTCCAGTCTCTCGAATATGTGCAGCTGGACAGCCTCATTCTCCCTGGCTAGGAGCTTCAGGAGATACAACGTTTTCCGGAAAACGGAAGTCATGCCGCCATATTGCTCCTAGATGACAAGATAGAAACACTTAATTAAAATAATTTCATGAAATAATACACATCTTCTTTGTTGTTTTTATTTACATTAGACGAAAAATATAAGACAAAAAACTCACAAATAATTTGATGTCAACTTCTTGAACAAGGATGTCAAATAAGATAATCAAAATACCTGAAAAAATAAAATAAAAAATAAATGTAATTATTGGTATTGCTACACACATAGCTAAAAAGTAACCTACGGAATCATGAAATAGTGTTGTATGTTGAGACCACATACAAATTCATGAAATTGTGTTGTATGTTGAGACCACGTATGGATTCATGAAATTGTGTTGTATGTTAAGACAACATACGGATTCATGAAATTGTGTTGTATGTTAAGACAACATACGGATTCATGAAATTGTGTTGTATGTTGAGACCACGTACGGATGTGTTGTATGTAGAGACCACATACCATTACTGATGAGGATGTTCTGGTTCATGGGGTGTGGCTCGTCTGGCGTCATAGGAAGGTGGCAGAACCTGGAATAGTTGGTTGCATTAACCTTTCAAGTTAGATCAACAAAACAGAACATAATAATAGAAAGATATTTGCATGTTTTGGGAAATAGAAGACCTACTCAGCCAGATCTAGAAAGAAGAAAGATATTTGGATGTTTTGGGAACTAGAAGACCTACTCAGCCAGACCTAGAAAGAAGAAAGATATTTGGATGTTTTGGGAACTAGAAGACCTACTCAGCCAGATCTAGAAAGAAGAAAGATGTTTGGATGTTTTGGGAACTAGAAGACCTACTCAGCCAGATCTAGAAAGAAGAAAGATGTTTGGATGTTTTGGGAACTAGAAGACCTACTCAGCGAGATCATCCAGGATGCTGCCCATCAGCTTGACCTGTTCGTTGTCCAGCTTAGCTCTGGACAGTCTGCGGAGGACTGGCATATTTTTCAGCACCTCGCGGTGGACTCTGGCGGAGTCCTGAGTCAGGAGAATCTGAAAAAAATACAAGATGGAAATTGCTGAATAAAGTATGAACATAACGCAGCCATAGAGATCAGGCTACACACAATTGAGAAGCTAGGGTCGCACGGTACAGGTTTTGATACTATTCGTTGATGATCAAACTGCTGACATGAAATTCATGTTCAATCCATTTTTAGAACATTTGGCTAACACAAAACTTACATACAGATAAAACACATTGGTCTTCGGGCAGCTTTGTTGACTACTTGGGCCTTGAAGACACGAGATTGGATTTGTTGGTCTTGGAGGAGTACACATTTTTTAGTACTGACTTACCTGGGGCCCTATAGGTCAGATTGGTCCTAGAGGAGTATAACTTTGTGACTTACCTGTGACTTGAAGAACAGGTTGAACATGTTGGCCCTGGGGGAGTAGGTTACACCTGTGTGACTTACCTGGGCCTTGAAGAAGCAGGTTACACCTGTGTGACTTACCTGGGCCTTGAAGAAGCAGGTTACACCTGTGTGACTTACCTGGGCCTTGAAGAAGCAGGTTACACCTGTGTGACTTACCTGGGCCTTGAAGGACAGGTTGAACATGTTGGTCTTGGAAGAGTACACCTTGTTGAGGATGTTGAGAGACTTGGTGATCAGCTTGTTGTACTTGTACTTGGATAAATCCTGGCATAGTAAGTTTAGCGTGGTTAGTAGAGTCGTTGGGTAGTCATTCAGTTCAGTCAAGAATAGGTGTGGTCATTGGTAGCTGTTGTGCTGATACGGTGATGTCTTATTTTAAATTTGTTTTAAATGTACGCATAGCTAGAGAAACTATTGTGGGAACTTGATAGCGTTATGATAATAATATATTAAATAAATGCTTCTCTCATTGATACAGTGACCTGTCAAGTATTTTGTCATGTGACCTCCATTCATTAGGTGGGTGAGCAATGGTTACCGTGAGGATCTTGGTCAGAAGTTCGATATCAAAGATGGCGGACAGGCTGAACATGTCTCTCATCTCCTTGTTCACGTGGCGTTGTTTTCTCATCGACTTCCTGAAACACAGACGTCATCGTGTCGTCATCGTGACGTCATATGTCAACACCGACTTGTGGGGATGAGGAGGTGGGACAATGGAAGTGGGAGGGGGGTATATATCATGACTCTAAACGGCGTTAACCCAATCTATGTGAATAGAAGAAGGTCTGGCAGAGCTACGTACAAGAAATGTAGGTGGGGCTTGGGGTGGGGTTGGGCATGAGGTGGGGGTTGGGCGGGGTAAAAATTATAAACATACGGCGTTGCCTAGCGGTAGTGCGCTAGACTGCTAGCCCGAAATTTTCGAGTTCGAGTTCAAGTCAGTATAAGGTCACCGAGTCCGCCCAGCTCTGATGGGTACTATTCCTTCATGCCGAAATCACAGAAATAGGCGAACTCTACTTCACTTGACCTTCGTTCTGTTAGGTTCGAAAAAGGACGATAATAAATATGGGCACTTTTTAAAATATTTTTTTTCTCTTTTTCTTCTTTTTTTTTCTTTTTGGATAAAAATATGGGCACTTGAAGCTCCTTGATTATACGTATTCTATATATCAATCTTATTGGTATAACTTTCATAACATTTACATACTGCTGCATCTATTTAATATACATGTTTTATATGTAACTAAGATATTTAAAATTATTTATTTTCTTAACACTTAGGATTTTTTTAAGAAATGCAATTTAAAAAATATTTTAATCTTATTTTTAAAATAATGTTCCTGCTCTTCAGTTGTGGGTTTACTTCGCCATGCCCATTACATCTTCGTCACTACATGCAATTATTTAGTTGCTTCCCTTTACAAAACTAATCAGAAATACAACATCAGTAAATTATTTGTTCAAAACTCAGTAACTTGTAAGTCAGCCATGAATATTACATACAACAATAACATTGTCATGGTGTTTACCCTTAATGTCGAATTTCAAGAAAGCCAGATTGTCGGAAGCTGTGTGTGTGTGTGTGGGGGGGGGGGGGGTGTATGGCTGGCTAAGGTCACGGCGACCATAATTTGAGAGCTAAATGTTTAGTTTTGCTGGAGAACTGTGATGGGTAATGTCTAGTTTTGTTGGAGAACTGTGATGGCTAATGTCTAGTTTTGTTGGAGAATTGTGATACTGATGTCCAGTTTTGTTGAGTAGATGCCCCCCCCACCCCCCGCCCTCAACAGTTAGGTACCACCAGACTCACTTAGACTGGTCGTGGGGGTTAAACGTGTCGTACAACAGGGTGCTCAGCACACTGGCCGGCTTACGCTGGACAACACACTGCTCGGCAACCTTGAACTTGCCCACAAAGCTCTGAAAGATACAAGGTCAATTTTAGCATAACGCACACTTTCACACTTTAGACTCTATGCTTATGATACGTACATTTATTATGATGTTCCTAACATAATTGATTATCAGATGTAAAACACAAACCTTGAAAATTAAATAAATTTGTTTAATATTAAGAAATGTAGTGGCAGTACCTGAAGTCGAGAATTCCTTTGATACGTCAGAAGTAGGTCAAGAACTTCTAGGGCCCTGGGATAAACAAAATCGAGCATTAATTAAGATAATTTAATAACGATGGGTTACGGGAGGGGGGGGGGAGCAGGTTCAAATCCAGCAGAGACTGGGATATTGTTGGCACTTACTGGTACTTGGCGTGGACAATGGCCGAAGTCTCTGGCGATTTCTCGTAGCGGTCAGAGTGCTGGAACTGCATTACCTGCTTCATGGCGTCCTTGGAGTAGCCTGAAACACAGGGAACATTGGGTGCTAGACGTAGAGGAACATTGGGTGCTAGACGTAGAGGAACATTGGGTGCTAGACGTGGAGGGACATTGGGTGCTAGACCTAGAGGAACATTGGGTGCTAGACGTGGAGGGACATTGGGTGCTAGACGTGTAGGGACATTGGGTGCTAGACGTGTAGGGACATTGGGTGCTATAGAGGAACTGGGTGCTAGACGTGGAGGGATATTGGGTGCTAGACGTGTAGGGACATTGGGTGCTAGACGTGTAGGGACATTGGGTGCTAGACGTGGAGGGACATTGGGTGCTATAGAGGAACATTGGGTGCTAGACGTGTAGGGACATTGGGTGCTAGACGTGTAGGGACATTGGGTGCTAGACGTGGAGGGACATTGGGTGCTAGACGTGTAGGGACATTGGGTGCTAGACGTGTAGGGACATTGGGTGCTAGACGTGTAGGGACATTGGGTGCTAGACGTGTAGGGACATTGGGTGCTAGACGTGTAGGGACATTGGGTGCTAGACGTGGAGGGATATTGGGTGCTAGACGTGGAGGGATATTGGGTGCTAGACGTGGAGGGGCTTAACTTTGGAAGGAACTTGGTGTTTAACTTCGGGGAGAATACAGGTCTGAACTTTGGAGGGAACATACAGATTCAACTTTAGGGGAACTCTGGAGTTTAACTTTGGAGGGAACATATGGGTCTTGGTCGTGACATTTTAGGGAACATTGGTGTCCTTTGTCTTTACGATATTACAGTAGCGTAGCGGGGGGGACGGGACGGGACGGGACGGGGGGGGGGGGTTGGGGGGACGGGACATATGTTCACGAGCGCCGACCTTAGGGGGCGCCAAAATGGGTTTAAAAAATAAATTGAAAGGTTGAGGGGGGTGCAAATCGAGATCTTGAGGGGGGGGGGGGGGGAGTGCAAATCGAAAGTTTTAGGGGGGGGGGGTGCAAATCAAAATCTTGAGGGGGGGAGGGGGTGCAAATCGAAAAGTTTGTCCCCGGGCGCCGGGAAGGGTAGCTACGCCTCTGCGACATTAAAACTTTGTCTCTGAATTAGGGCGTGGCTAACTGTGTTTTTAGATCACACCTGTCTTGGTTTTAGGACACATCTACCTTTGATTATGTCTTACGAACACGCCTATTATGCCCTTAGGACACGCCTACCGCATACCTTATTCTCTGTGTTTAGGGCACGCCTACCTTTGTCTCTGTCTTTTGGAAAAGGGAAGTCATGCCGCCCATCTAGCAAGCACAACAAGGGAGGTAACAGATGCTGCACGTCTTCACTGTCCATGTAGTAGCCAAACTTGACCAAATGGTAGAGCAGCCGTAAGACCTGTTGATGGTTTAAATGTAGTTATTTCCCTTGATCAGAGTTATTGAACTTTGGCAGATTTTAACATACATTGAAAGAATCAGTTTTCTATTTATTTTTCATTTTATTACTGACTTTAAAATAATGGTAAATTTAAAACAACATCCTCAATTGTATAAAAAAAAATTAAAACGATTTAACTGGTTAAATAAATTAAAATAAAATGTCATTGGACAGTTGTCAGATGACACTGAAATCAGCACCTACTTATTTGATAGTTAGATGACAGGTGACATGAGCACCCACTTACATGTGAGCACACCCATTTTCCCCAACTGGCCACCCACCTACCTGCTCAATCAGCATGTTATGGCCGATGTCAGATGTCAGATGACATGTGACATAGCCACCCACCCACCTACCTGCTCAATCAGCATGTTATGGCCGATGTCAGATGTCAGATGACATGTGACATGGCCACCCACCTACCTGCTCAATCAGCATGTTATGGCCGATGTCAGATGTCAGATGACATGTGACATGGCCACCCACCCACATACCTGCTCAATCAGCATGTTATGGCCGATGTCAGATGTCAGATGACATCTGACATGGCCACCCACCTACCTGCTCAATCAGCATGTTATGACCGATGTCAGATGACATGTGACATGTGACATGGCCACCCACCTACCTGCTCAATCAGCATGTTATGGTCGATGTCAGATGACAGATGTCAGATGACATGTGACATGGCCACCAACTTACCTGCTCAATCAGCATGTTATGACATATGTTAGATGACATGTGACATGTGACATGGCCACCCACTTACCTGCTCAATCAACATGTTATGGTTGATGTCACATGACATGTGACATGTGACATGGCCACTCACTTACCTGCTCTATCAGCATGTTATGACCAATGTCAGATGACACCATGTAGTTGTTCTGTCCCAGGAACTCTGTAATCCAATCACGTAAGACGGGAAAGATGGCCACCAACTCCTTGACAACCTGGGCATACACGGGGTGGGGGGGGGGGGCATTCATAAGTCTGTCCAACTTCATATTATTTCTATTAATGTGACACTTACGAAAATCTCCCTGTATTGTAACACTTACAAAATCTCCCTGTATTGTTACATATAACACTTACAAAATCTCCCTGTATTGTTACATATAACACTTACAAAATCTCCCTGTATTGTTACATATAACACTTACAAAATCTCCCTGTATTGTTACATATAACACTTACAAAATCTCCCTGTATTGTTACATATAAGTAGTATAGTAGGTCCCCTTTGGGTATTATTGAGGTGGAGGTGGTGGAGGTGGGACAACTGTTGCATAAAAGGTGGAGGTGGAGGTGGAGGTGGGACAACTGTTGCATTTTTTGACCGTTATTGATTGATTTTTGCCCATCTGTTGCATATTTTGACCGTTATTGATTGATTTTCGACCACCTGTTGATTTTTGTCCCTGTTTTTTGCCCACCTGTTGATTATTTTTAACCCGTTGTTGATTGTTCATTAACCAACTGTTGATTGTTTTGATTAGTAGGGTATTGTATTGATCGGTATGTTGACCACTTGACCAACTGACCACGTGTTGGGCAGAGGTGGAGGTGGAGGTGGATTCCCCTATTGATTTGTTTGTATTGAGGGTTAGGGTACCTAGTAGTTGACCAATTGACCAGTTCTTTTATTAACGGTTAAAATAAAGTTATACATTTGTTTACCAGTTGACCAACTGACCAGTTGTTGACCAGTTGACCAATTGACCAATTGTCCACTTGTTGATAAGATGTTGGTTGTTTGTATTGACCTGGACGACAGTCCAGCTTTAACAGTATATAGTAAAATAGTATTTCCCCACCTCCAATGGGGGTGTGGGTGGGGGTGACGCGGGTGGGGGGAGGTGGTAGCAGGTGGTACCCCTTCCCTTTGTGTGTTGCAATCTCATTCTCCCTTTGTCTGACGTCTGTGTGAGCATGTCCTTTTGTGTGCCGCTACTCGCGTCATACTCAAAGGCAGGTGCCCTACCCCATTGTCTAATCCAACTCACGCGCCTTTACTATCGATTTTTTAAAAGTCATGTTTAAACATGTTGACCGTATAAAATCTTTGTTGAATAGGACTGGTGGATGTCGAATTCTACTCGTCTTAATATAAAGAGATACAGCACGTGCCAACACCCGGGCCGATTATTGACCCCACTGGTGGTTTCTACTTGCTTGTTGTGTTTATGGTTTGCATTTATTTACACATACACATTCACACACACACACACACACACACACACACACACACACAAATGAAACTAAAATCAAATCACAACAAAAGACTTCTTATATTTTATGAATTTATTTCAACTTTCTCCAAGTCATCAAACGCTTTTAAAATATCATATCTCAGGGCGAGTAAACGTTCAAAAGCTATACGAGAGAGATTTATTCCAGAATTATTAGGAAATTTAAGATCTGTACCATCCATAAGATCTCTAAGATTTAAAGTGTTTTTGTTCATGAATTGACTAACGATAGCTACTTTATAACCACTGTCATTCGTCGTTCGTATTTCCGTCACTTTATTACTACTTCTGGCGACAAGTATCCAATCTTCACTAGACATCTTGAAAGCGCGGAAATAAACGTTTATAATTAGTCCCAATAAGTGCAAGGGTTAAACGTGATATAAGTCGATCGTTAATATATTGTCGAGCCGGTGAAGCTGAAAAAGGGTGGAGAATAAGTTTTAGGCTAGCTCCCCGAACTTTCTTCAAAACAAAATAAACCGCGTATAACCCACAGCTGTTGGTTACAATGTCTTGCAAAACTCTTGAATTGTAAACGAATGGTCTGTTTGAATTATTTTTTATAAAAGCCAAAATGGCGGGTTCACGCGGTGGTAATCCAAAACTATCGAAATAAGTAAATTGCGATAGACCATTGAAAAAAAGACCAACCCAGTGGCTGCCTTCATCCTTGGACGAATCTAAATTTATAATGAACGCCGCTTGCTTCGTTCTATCGATACGAGTAGGTAGTTGATCGCACGCTACAACACCAAAGAGATTTGTGCGTTGTACAAATAAATCTGCGGCCAGTATACTTTGTAGTTCTCTTGTGTTCATTTTCGTCTATAGGCCGCTTTAGGCGGTGTAATCTGTCAACACTTGTCTCGTTTTTGAAATTTCTAACACCGAATCTAGTTCAGCATACGCAATAACTTGAATCGGTTCAGTTGTAACTTGTGAAAATTTAAGTTCAATAGAAACAGGTCCAGATTTAGCCAATTCAAATTGTTCACCATCCAAAAGACTGGGGCTTAAATCAAAAGCAAACAAGGTATAGCCGTTCTTAAAGTGTTTATAGTCTATTCCATTCCCAGCATCTTTTCCAACCATACCCAGAGAGAGGTTACTATTGAAAAATGCTCTAATGGCTTGATTCCTATCAAAGTCCATGACCAGTGGTTTTCCCGATAACGATCGTCCATCAACGCTTACATTTAAATACGTCAAGTGAAAATGTTGAAAATTGAAGGGGTTTTTTGTGTAACTACCATTAAAGGCTGTAGAGGCGACTAGTCCGAGGACTAATCGGGTGGGTGTTTGACTCATATACAAATTGTCTTGGTTGTGACTTAACATTCCTTTCGGTATAGCAAAGGTCTTTATAACAACGCGTTTAAAAGGGTATTTTGCATTCATTCTCGTTAAAGCCTTTTCATGCGCGATAGAAATCGCCGGGTTAAGTCTGGCCTTTCTAACTACCAATGTTGCGTGCGTTATCATCGCTTTATACCCCTTGTTTTGGTCTGCTGTCAAGAGAGTGAAACTGTCTTTTGCGGGTGTAAGTTTAATTTTAATGTCAACCCCATTCAGCATATAGCGATCTTGGGTGAAAATGTCAGAGTGGATACGTCCCATCATATCGATCTCATGACTTTCAGCAGCGGTGGTGCGGCGAATCCTATACCCATCATTATTGTCATCTTTGAACTCCTCGAAATAACACGGTGTGTCCATTGCATATAGAGCAGCTGATAGAGACCCATTCTTGGCATCTTCCCCGTAATTTAACGTAGCCTCCAGATAGGCGCGATACGGATAGGTGTTCTCACTAGCGGTGATTAGTGTGTCGTTGAGAGAAATATCCACTTGGGAAAATAAACTGTGCAAAAAATAATTGACTGGTGCAACATCAGAGTCCACTGATATGGGATCACCATTCGCTAAGGTCACCTTAGCGCGCACATGTAAATACGTGTTGAACAAATCTAGATAGTCTTCACTGTTGCCAGAAATTGCAAATTCTATAGGTGCACTTTGTGCCAAGGATGCGAGGGGGTGTATTTCAACAAATTGACCCTCCTCGACGGCAGTTTGTGTCGGGGGTATACTAAATAAATCCAATCCAGAATGTAAGCACTCACATGAACTTGGATGAATAAGAGCCATGGTTAAGCAAATATATCTGAATACTTGGGATGTTTCTTCTTTCGCTTAGCACACGCCTTCGAATGATTGTGACTTGATCTGTGTGCTAGTTTTATTCGTTTTTCAAAGGGTTCACCTGGTGGTCTCGACAGCGCACGCTTTCTTCTCAATCCGCTTCCTGATTGGTTTTGTCCCAGGTGATCAACGGCGCCTTGTAATAAACGATGACCAGCTTCTTTGGCGTGTTCTTTGAACGATTCTCCAATGTTTCTTCCCGCTAATGCATCGTTTGCAACATGCAACCCGGTACTAACACCTTCTCTGAGTAAAGCCTTACCTCCCGTCTTTAACCAAGGGAGGACCATTCGACCTAGACCACTAAAGAAACTACCAATACCGTGTCCTCTTTGATTTCTTCCACCGATAAAAATTGGTAAACCATGACCGTACTGGTTACAGTAAAAATCTTCGTACAATTTAGGGTTTCGATGTAAAAGGGTATGTTTCACCATGGTGTGAGTTATTCCAGATCGAAATGTTTACGTGTTCTAAAATGGAGTGTCAACACTGACGTTCCACTTGTGAATGAGAGAGATTGTCCCAACTCATCGCATAAAAGTATTTCCACTGTGTCGAATGAAAAGCGGTTCAGGGGGATGTAGTGGGGTTTGTCGTAAATACGAAAAACGGAACTTGGTTTCTTCTCAACGATCGGTACGGTCCGAAGCAAAGGGACCATTACATCTCCAACCGGTCTCGCTTCTACGAGGTCACAATAGACGAATACAATTTTTACTTCGTCTTCCTCGATATGTTTCTCTGTAACTTTACCCGGAACAATCATATAGGCGTTCAACCAGTCACGGACAGTACTTTCTATTCCCGATGCAACTACTTTGACGACAATTTTCTTAAATCCCTTATTACAGTCTGAAATTATAATTTCCACTTTTCGTTCATCTACATCTCTTTTTAATAGTTTTTTTATACCGTTGACAAGCAGGTCGATGTTTTGGTATTTGGTCTGGCGTAAGCCAAATAGAAAAAGGTTAACGTCTGCACCTTCTTTGATGGAATGATACTGGAGCCAAACTTCATGTTCTCTAATCATACAAAATGCATTCGGCATTTGAATCTCGACCAGACCAACCTCATAGTGCGAATTCACATCGATAGTCTGTGGTAATTTAACGAAGAAATGCCCAGCCTCATTGTCTGGAAATACATTTGGTGATGCATTGCTAGGCAGGGTGACATAAAAACTCATTGTAAAATTTTGGTTCTTGCAATGGTTGGGTTAGGTAAAATATAACCGAGACAGCTGGATAACAACACGACCCAAAGTTTTCCCTCTTTGTCGTCGAGTGTTCCACGCGTCAAATTAAATAGTGAAAAAGCGATGACGACAAATATAACCAACATTTGAGACATGAAAACAATTTCCGGTCGTGTCCTTAGTCTACCGATCCAGCTCGAAATGGTCGAACCGATAGAAGACGTGGTGGATTTGGGTCTCACCTCACTCCCACCGAACGGTCTGAGCGTTTCTTCCAACACGGTCTCATCCATGCTTAGGCTTTTCACTGTTTCAACCATCGTTAGTCTTTATATTTCGAAATGTCTCTAGCTGAAATCCAACTGTTGAATGAAGGGTTATAACCGAACCACTTGACTAAATACTCTTTACCAACGACACCCTTTCTTTCTTGTATAATGTGTTCGATGCGGTACACTTTTTTGTCCCCCACTTTCTGAAGCTCTTCTTTGTAAAACGATCCTTTCAATTCTTCACCCGAATCATCTTTTAAAACGTACGTTACGGGTGTTGTTGCGATAACTCGGCTCACCGTAAACAGTTCTTCCGTCCACGAAGGCGTATACCCCTTTTTAAAAGTGTGTCTGCTTTGCCCTATCCGTACACGATCACCTTCGTTAAATACTTTTCGATAAGTAATGTCCACTGGTGCGTATAAAGTATTCCACACCCTTTCTTGATTACTCAAATTAACATTCACGGGGGCCATGCGAATACTCCGATGGTATGAATGGTTATAATTGTTGATCAAATCGGCTACCACATCGATGTAACGTAGACGATTTGTTTTAGTAAAGTACCGCCACATTTTTTCTTTTAATGTGCGATTGAATCTTTCAACTATAGCCGCCTTAATATCTTCATTCTCAGTGGTAAAGAAATGTACGCCCTCTGCTTTAAGAAATTTTAAAAATGTCTTGTTGACAAATTCACTACCTTTGTCTGTTTGAAAATTTATAGGTTTTCTAGTCGAAAATATTTTACGTACAGCCTCCACTAGCGCTTTACCCGATTTTTTCCTTATCGGAATTGCCCAGGCGAATTTGCTAAACACATCGATGCAAGTCACTAGGTAAGAAACGCCGTCATTGTCCTTTCGTAACGAGCGCATATCTATGAGATCCGCTTGAAATTGATGATTTATTCCACCTGTGATGGTGGCGCGCCTTTGAAACCTTCGCCGAAGGGGTTTATGTAACGTGTAGGTATCCTGATGACTTAACCATTCTTTAATTTTTTTAGTTCCAATTTCAGGGTGTTTAAACACACCACCGTAGGCACCTGGTCTACTGGGGTCATAGTAATGTCTTGTTAGTGTTTGGTTTTTTCCCACTCGTCCCATTTGGTAGTACTTGTTTTAGTTTTCTTACTTCTGGTACGTTTCGATGGTGGAGTTTTTTCTACGTATGTCTTTTTATTTTTCTTCAAGGGGCGAATTTGAGAGTCAGGCGAGGCGGTTTTCGTTTTAGGTTCAGAGTCGGTTATGTCGATCGTTTCTTTTTTAGGTTCAGTTATGTTTTCTTGTTGTTTTGAAACCTCGGTCGTTTGTGTATTCACGGTGGATGGTTTCACATCGACTAAACCTAGGGGCTTGTTTCTATAATCGTTAAGTCGCGTCGTGTAGAGCTGTAGTGTCTTTTGATATTGTTTCACTTTGTCGTGTGGTGACAAATCTTCCCTATTTAAGATATGTTCCATTTGCGTATCCAAGAGGCGTAGACTATCGTTGAGTGTGTCGGGTGGTACATAGGGTTTTTGTTGCATAGACTCTAATATACGAGGATCCATTAAAATCATTTTTCTGGCCATCCTTAAAATCCCAAGACACCTTTAAGCACACCAAGGACTGGTCCGAGTAAAGCACCTATGAAACCTCCGGTCTGTAAAATTTCCTTTCGTCTTTTGACGGTCAATTTCTTTTTGGTAAGTTGTCTCAAGCTTGCTTTGTGACGACGCAGACGTCTCTTCTGAACCGGTGTGAGGGGAACGTTGCCTTTTAAGACATTGTGACAGCACTCGCATAATGTTTTTACGAGGTGGGGCGAAGCATTTTTGACAACTGCTTTCACGACGGGTGGTTTTGCCCGAGCCAATAACCTTAACATTTCACCTTGTCGTTTTACTGACTCAGACATGTTTGCTTTTTTATTTTGGAACGTAAACAACTTGTTGCTCGTGAGAAAAGATACAACTACGTAATCTCAGATTATCCGGTGTTTCCTGTCGAAGGTCGATCAACAAATAACCATGAGGGGCCGATGTCGCGTCCTTAAAACTTTCCTGGACATATGAAACGCGACCTGGGTACATTTGTTTTGCTAAATTTGTAATCTGTGAACCGTCCCTAGGGTTCTTGAACAGTACGATGTAGTGCGAATTGAGACTGATGGTTCTTTGTTCTTTATTTTTTCCGAATAGGTTTTGTACAATATACATGACACTAATATTACGATGATGACTACCTTTCGTAAACAATTTTGTAATTCGCTCATCTGTTTCCACCATCAAATCATCTATCACAACTAGACGACGACGTTTTCCATCCCCCATTGAGCCGTTTTCTATGTCAGGAAGACCTTCCACAAACTGAACGTTCTTGATAGACTCAAACAAAGGTTGCCACTCTCCGTAACAGTAATAAATTTCATCAGGTGTAGGATCCATCATCTCTGACACCTGAGATAAAAACGTTTTAACAAATACCGTTTTACCACACCCGGTAGGGCCAGCTACCAGAGCCGTAAAGGGGTGTTTCCATCTCGGATCCATAGTTTCAATGTTTGAATTTACTTTTAGTAATCCATCTTATATACGACACAGAGTTACATAACTTACATGCACAATTAATAAACACAATAAAATCACAAAAAGACCGTTTCAATGTATATAATAATATATTTATTTATTTAAAAAATCAACCCATCAGCATACAGTCATAAATTATGTCTTATTTACATATCTACATTAGTATAATATGTCGTTAAAATTTATAACTGTCCAAAGTCTTATATGTCTAGGGGAGATGTTGTCACATTGTCTGGCTGTACCTGTCTTTTAATATAAAAGTAAGAAAGTGCATTTTTGTGTTGGGTGTATGTATAAACCCCGTTGTTGAGTGCCCTGAAACCTGTATTTATCCCACCACCCGGTATTTTTGTCGTGAGGACCTGCATAAATGTGTCTTTGTCTAGTGTGTTGTGATTTTTGGATAGCCCTTTGGTGGATGTTTTAGGATCGTTGTCTCCAAAACAGTGGTAAGACTTGCTACATAAAGATACCATCCCATCCCCTTCATATTCTAACTTAAACAACCCCGGTGTTCTTTTCTCATAACGTTTCCTATCACTACACCCCTGACAATGACTATCTACCGTACCCTTGTCGCTTATAAATTGTGGTCTATGTGAGTCGCATACTTCTGAGGGGAACCATTTGTCGTAAATGTCAAAAAATTCGTGTTCTAGTCCCGGTCTTACGGCTTTTAATAAGTCATCGGTACTTAAGGCTAAGTATAAACTGTCAGTGTCCATCTCGCAGAGTTGAAAGTCGGTTCTATCTATATATTTGTCTATAAAGTCATAATAAAATTCTAACATCCTAAGTTTAGCGTATTGATAAACGAAAAAACCTATCTGTAGGGGAAGATCCCAATCTATTTTCTTTTTTAACATTTCTATTTCGTAAACTCCGTCGGAAAGTTGGGTCATTTTTTTAAAGCGCGGATTATTAATACAACGTCCGACATCCCTATCACTACAGTAAGCTATATCTGTATGTCGTGCTTTATTCGTTATCGTTTTACCGTAAGCCGCGTTTCCTAACAATTTCATTGTCTCACTAGTAATTGCGTTATTGACGTCTATATCCCCCTGTCTTCGCGCGTCTGAAACAGTATCCCCAAAGGTCTTAAAACATGAAACCGGATTATATTCTACCACTTGATAAATTTTTGTCACTACCAACTCATGATTTAAATACCACTTTAAAAGAGGGGTCGCTAATAAAATTTTCTCCCCTTTAAAGCTACCGATTAAAGTACGTCTACCGCTTGTCAATAATTTATTGTCGACCGCGTATTGTCTCATAAACGGTCCGATGTCGTCTCGCGTAACGTTAGTATTTTTAAAAATCGGTGTCATCTCACTAAAGTATTCTCTTAATCTATCCGGCACTGTAATGTCGCATTCTACCAAACCAAAACACGAATCGTCTAAAACAGAATCGATGATCTGTTTCTCAGTCAGGGGCCAGCTTTTACCATAGGTCGGTGTCGGTGTCTTTTGAGGTTTGTCACTATCTTGTAAAAATTTTTTAATATTTGGGTCAATCTGTTTAGTGGTAGCCCACTCACATTCCCACATTTCTACGACTTTAACGTCAACAGTCTCGGTAAGGTATTTCGTAATTTCGGTTGTCTTTTTAAATAAGTCAGTCAAGGGTCTGTTACTAATAGGATTTACTGTTCTGTCTTTAGTTAAGGGACAGTCAGGGTGTCCGTGAAAGAGACAGCCATGGAACTGATAAACGGTTCGAGCCTTCGAATCCCACCCGTCTACTCTTATATGGCGGGGTCCTAAGCTAACTTCGCCCCCGTTAAACGCTGTTTTTAAAGTTACTCCCTTTGTTGTTGAAACCCACGATAACCACTCCCAGGCCTGTTCCCCATAACGATTAGCTCTACGCGGCTTAAACCCATCCTCACTATTTCTAATAATCGGAAATCCTGTCGGCATTTTCTGCATTAAAGACCATAAATAAAGCGCGTTCGCGTCATACCCCTTAATTGCCTGTACCACTTTATTTCTAGCCCCCCTAATGAAAGTTACCCCCTTTTCGTGATGTCTATGAAAAATTATGGAGGGGCCCCCTACGATATTATTTCGGATTGATGAATGTAATTCTGATTCGCGTTCAGAACACAAAGAAAAAGAAACGTCTTCTGAAAGTGTTTTAAAAAGATATTTTAATGTAACCCCGGGGACAGAAATCGCGTCTTTGAAAATATCAACCCCTAAATTTTGGTAAAAGTTAGTTTGGCGCTCGAGCGCCTCGATAAAGGGCTTAACATCAATATTATTATAATAAATAAGAAAATCTTTAAAAGTTTGCATCCCCTTCTCTACCCAAATTTGCCTACACGTCGCGTACTCCTCGTCCGAAATATTACAATTTTTTAAGGTGGAAAAAAAGGCCGAATGCGGAGGTAAAGACTTTTCATCTAACACGGCTAAACTTTTTACGTACTCGTACGGGAAAAACCCCTTGGTCTCTTTAACCTTAT